TTAATAATATATATATATTTATATTTATAACAGTCTATATACTATATATATTTTTACGAGGTGACTACTTAAACAGAGCACTTAATGACTGAACAGATCGCGTTTCAAGGGAACACTTGTAAAGGGATTTCTCACGTCCGTTGCTAAGTTAGCAAGTGTTCAAGATTAGTTACACATTGCAATTATCTATATACTTGCAATCAAATTATTATCGCAGAGAATCTATAGAACTCTCTTCATCGATAATCCAATCAATCTTATCGTTGGCACACTTTGTCCAGTTTCGAGATCAGCTAGGTGATAGGTAACAACTAGATAATGATCGGAACGAGTACTCCATGCATATGTAGACATGGAATATTCCATATCTTGGTTAATGAAAAGTGACAAACTTCAATTAATGGATCGACCCATCAATTAGTAGCACGCACACATGATCCCATCCCATCCCATACCATTCCATTTCGGACGATCCATGCAATTCGATAGGATCGAGCTATTCGAGATGATCTTCAAACTCGTTTTTCTGCGTTGTCATTTTGCGTGGACTTTACCAAGTCAGCGAACCATGGTGCAATTGAAATGTTTGCTCAAATAACCGCCTGTAAGTTCCGAATATATTAACCGAAATGTAAATATATACCCGGCTATCTAGCTAGAACTGGCTTTCCGGCGTCCATGACCGAAAATAGTACCAGTTTGAACCGGTGAAGCGGAGGGACAGTCCCCCAACTGGACGGACAGCAGCCAGACTTCGCGTCAGACAGGCAGAGAGAGGCATCATAGCACTCAATATTTAACTCGCATACCAAAATATTTTGCGTTATATACTATATACGATACGGCAAATTAATTGAAGCGGCCCGAAAGTCTTTTGTTTTTGATGTCCATTAATGGGATGTGGCGGGCGCCAAAAATATTTATATCGGCAGCACAACATAATACTCTGGCAGGGAGCATATCTGAAAAGATCCATATCGGATTTTATGGAATATAAGAAATAATGTTTCAAGGTTTCATAATTGACTATTTTCCAATTAATGGAGAATGTTAAGATGATACTATAAGAAATCTAACAACCTTATGTCTTATATTAACTCATGGTTGGGCACCAAATTTCAAACTTTGAGCCTGAAACAGAATATACATTTTAGTCAAGGGTATTTCAGTCTTCGTCTTACTGAAAAAATAGAATTTTCCTGTCAAACAAACTGCGAAGACCTTTAATTCCATGGGCGCACACAGCATCATGTTTTATCAAAATAAAAGAACCCAAGAAGAACCGGCATGTCTCGGCCAATTAAAGCCACAAAGTCAACTGGCAATTTCATCTCGGGATTGTAAGAAAAAAGTCTCCATAGAAGGACATAAGTCAGGGCACTCAATCATAGAGATACATACACATATGTATATCAATTATTTAAAAATAGTTCTTTATATCTTTATTTTTCATTCTTGACAGAAAAGGCAATTAAAACTGGTTAGGAGTGAAATAAAGTCAAGTTTTAAGTTAAGATTTCCTATCTTTCTTGTCATATGCTATCTTTATGAAAGGGATCTAAACTATACTAAAAATATTTTGAAGTATACTGACAAGATAAGATAATATGTCATGAGATACATTAAAATCAAGATGATCTAAAAATTCCATAGATGAGTAATGGCTTAGTTTTTGACGTAAATACTTTTTAAAATATAATTTCGCTAGAGTCTCAGTATAAAGTCAGAGTTTCCTGAACATTTTTAGAGACATGTGTCTCTAACGAGTTTGTTTTGTGTGTCCAATTTTAGTAACCACAATAAATCATTCAAGCGAAATCTTTCCAAGTGATCGACATCATCAGTTTAAGGCGAGAATAGTTCAAGTAAAATGCAGTAAATAAACACTTAAACAATTAAATTTAAGTAGAGTAAAGCGAATTGAGGCAAGGAAATTGCCACAACAATTGACATTTCGAGGGTCATTCGCAACGCTGACAGGAAAATACTCGAAATTAAAACCCGGCAGACCGCAAATCGTCACGAGACTCGAATAACTTGGCCAAATTGAAGTGGTTTGGATTGGCTTCGCCTTTAAGTGATTGGTGGGTTTAAGTGATCGAAGGCTGATCGGCCAATGGGTCATGGGGTTATGTCAGTTCTGGGTTTTTTTCTTCCTTTCCAGCCGTTGTTCTGTTCTCTGTTATGGCCATTATAAACTGCGGAATGGAGCGGGCAAAAGTTGGCTATCTTAAATATGCCTTTTACAACATGGTGTGGTACTAACCCATAATATCGGTCCTAATCTTTATAGCCACCAGAGACTATATAATGTGACTTTTGTACCAAGGCTCTGGGACTGAATTAGATAAGATTGTCCCTCTGAAGGAGGAAGGAGGACAGAAGGGAATCTCCCCGCTCCAACTATGAAGCAGAATCTCATAGGCATAAAGCTCAGCATGTGATTTGCCTGTTAAGTTACGGGGTATATGGGGAACAGAGGCTAGTCCCATTGATACTGATACTGATTTATGGCCTGGAGAGGGCGACCAACTGGGGCTGCGTCATCCCTCCAACCACAAGGTGTTTAATAACTTAATTGGCCAAATTCTCTGACTGTAATGATCACAGGTCGTGTGCGCCGCTTTATGACTACAATGATTGTGCTGCACTGCGGCAAGGAAAGTGCCAATTTTCGGTGTATTTTTAAAAAATTCCACAACTCCTCCCCAGTCGTCCGTCCGGGGGCTGGCATTCATATACATTCTACTACCTTTATATACGGAGTATAAATTCGATACAGCACAAAAAAAATATGTAAGCGATTTAATTGTTTGCTCAACTCATTTGAAGTGTGAAAAGTGGTAAGAACTTTTAGCGGACAAATGCCTCAGAGAGCGATCTCAACTCAACTCATTTAATTGTGGCACTTTGCAAATATTGACTTCAAGTGAATTTCCTAACAACAGCTGGCCAGGTGAACCTGTGGCCAGTCGATCCGGCGACAAGCCTTTAACACGTGATTCTGTTATTTATACACAATATATTTAAGTTCGCGAAAACGGAAGTGAGACCGTGCATCGAATTGGGGAAAGGTTCGTCGCCAGTTTGTCGTTTTGGGCCATCGAAACCAGTTGGTTTTTTGTATTAAAAAATTATTGCTACTGTATTCAAACCGAGCGAGTCAACAGCGTAATCTAATAAATTATCAGCTGCAAATGTGAGAAAATTCTTAAGTTAAAATGAAGACCAGAAGAAGGAAAAAGCAGCCAAAAAGCCGAAGTTTGTATACACTCGCATGAAAATCATCATGACTAAGTCAAAAATGCATTAATTTTCAATTGGAAAGCTGTTCTATGCTAGTTTTTAGTAGGTTAAAAAACCTGCATATTAAGTTTACAAAAATTTGAAATGTAACCCCTTATAAAATGTTCAAATGCTAGATCGACTCGGCTTTCGATGCTGATCACGAATAATATGGGGTCAGATATGACTCCTTCACTGTGTTACATACTTATGACTGAAATTATAATACCGTCCAAAGGTACATATAACAAAATAATGGTCAAACAACAAGTGTTTCCCCTTGGATGCTGTTTCGGGGCTTCTTTCATATGCCGACCGCCAAAAAAGTGAAAATATATATACTATCTCGGAAGGCGGCAACATTACAAACCTGAATGGCCCATTGATAAGATTAGGATTTTGGATGAGAATGAAAATAGAAATGGGGAATGCGGAGGGCAAAGGAGCGTGGGAATTTCCATTAGCTTAGCAAACATTAGAAGATGCGAAGATTTGGGACAAGAAACCTTAAATTTAAATAAACATTTTGTTTAGTTAGAATTTTGCAATTAAATTAAGTTTTAATGGGACTGAACTCTGACCGATCTCGTCAATTAATTTTAACCACAATCATGAGTCAATATTTATAAATACTTTTAAATAAATATGTATTGAATCACTTATAAATTAAATATTATTGTATATAGTGTTTTCTCAAGCTTAATAAGTATTTCCAATTCCTACTTTTAATCTTTTCAAAACTTTGAACCGAAGCCTAACTAGGTTTCCGGGTTTATTACTGCTAAAACAAATATATTGGCACATGTAGGAAGATTTGTTTTTGAAATTCCAAAACTTTATGGCTTATAGCCCGCCCTTTGATTACAATGGCGATTATCGGTCAAGTGTATCTCACATGCTTCGCTTTATAGCTGCCATGCAGGAAGCTATAGCTTTATTAACGTGTTGACATCGGTTGAAAATGAAACTGTTTGCCCAGCAGTGGCAAAAACACAATTACCTCATTATATGATATTTAACAAACTGAATTAAGCACCAGTGTTTTCTTAATTCGTTAATATTTTAATGAGCCTTGGGATAATTTTATTAGAGAAGCTAAGATAAATAAGAAAATAATTAATTAATTAATTAATACATTAATTGTACAATTAATTTCTTAATTAGGTAAATCAAAATGTACTTAGTTTCTTGTATACATATAGTTATAATAATAATTTTTTAATATTGGAAATATTTTAATGTAATTATGATTAATTGTGTATTGATTACATTGCATCATTTATTTTATTATTATTAAGAAATTACTAAAAAAAAAAAGAAAATAAATTCCTTAAAGGATTCAAATCCTTTTTTACATGTTTTGACATGTCTCAAATATTCAACATGTAGAAAAAAATACATTTTACATTGCCCTCATAGGTGGCGCTATAAACAATAAGTTTCTGTAGTGTTGACCCAGCTATATACATATACGCTAGATTAATAAATTTAAATAATATTTTTAATACAAAATAAGAAAGTAAACAATAATTCTTTCCTTTTTCCTTTGAAAGAAGAGTAATTACATCGCTAGATAAAAAAAAAACGAATCAAAATCATTTAATAAGGCCCAAAAAATGTTCTTAAAATCTTTATTCGAAATGTAGCTAAATTATGAATAAGCTAATACGACATCACTGCTTTTGGCTATCGATAAAAACAGCTGATTGCTGCCCTGTGTAATGTTCGCGAAAAAAACACGCAAAAGAAGCGTTTCTTTGATAAGATAAGAGAAAATCCTTAAAATACTCAACAAAGCGTAGAGGTAAGACCACTAAAACCCATGGTGGAAGCAAACCGAACCCCGCCCAGTCGGAAAATGTGAGCGGACCACGGCGGCAGTCCGCAGGCAGCAGAGGAGCATCATTTCACCAAGTTTTCGCAGTTGAAAAACTCCATGGAAATAATGGGCGACAGCGAGCAAATTTGGCCAGAGATCGGTGTGGATCCGCAGCATGTGTGCGAGGCCGTCGTCGGCGAGGGGAGATTCCAGCTGATCTGCGACAAAGCCTGGCTGCAGGCTCTAGAACGCCACCGACGGCTGACTAACTTTCCCAGCTGGCCGCTATTGGACAGACGAGCTCATCCTACGGGCCAGCTGGAGCATCCATGGACACGGATAGTGGTGCAGACGTATCGCAAGCAGCCCCAGCGAAGGGTCTATCCCCTGCCTAGGATCCCTGGTGAAGGTTCCAGTCAGGATTTACCCCTTTCCTACTCGCAAGCCGTGTCCTTTGTGGCGCACAACAACTTTAGGCAGCTGTGGGAGGAGGCCTACAAACGATACAATGGAGCCCATGTCAAACTCTGCAGACCCGCAGCATCAGCGCCACAAGCAAAGCCACATCCCGGTCAGGGGCAACTGCAACCACATGATGTCGTCCTCAAGGAGCTCATTCAGCGCGTCTACCACTGTCCCGTGCTGCACTGTCAGGCAGATCGTGACGACTCTCCCACTGGCATTCCCCAGGCATCTGAACTACCGGGCACCTGTCACGCCAACATCTTGCCCGCCCTGGTCGCCATCGAGACATCCACACACTTCAGCGTATTCTTCTATCCGCCGGCGTTGGAGTGCAGCCTCTACGACTGCATAACGTTCAGTCCAGCGCTGCTTGGAAGGGGCTACAACAAGACACTGTTCGTGATCTATCAGATCCTGCAGTTGGCCAAGCACCTCCAGGCACAGGGCCTCTTTCTGGGTGACCTACGGCTGCAGCACATTGTGATGCGTGAGAATCTCTGGCTGCAGATACTACCGCGACTGCAGTGCAATCTCTTGGAGGAGGATCCAGCAGCGGGTGGTGGCGGAGACATATCGCCACTGACTCCACTTGCCAGCGAGGAAATTACGGGGGATTTAGTGGTGGATCCACGACAGCAGCGCCTGCCCTCCAGCAGCACCATGTTTGACCTACGCCTCGCCTATGATCCAGCCCACTTCAACCTGCGCGAATACGCGGAAATGTGGTGCAGTGGCCAGCTGTCCAACTTCGACTACTTGACCATCCTGAACAATGCATGCGGAAGGAGTCTAACGAATGCCGCCCATCACCACATCATGCCTTGGGTGACCGACTTCAGTGGACGCGGCGGAGCCAATTGGCGAGACTTGACCAAGAGCAAGTATCGTTTAAACAAAGGAGACGTCCATCTCGATCTCATGTACTCCCACGCCAGTCAGCATAGCACTGGAGACGGCAGCTACCAGCCCATGGGAGATCAGGCGCCTCACCACGTCTCTGACTTCCTCTCCGAAATCACCTACTTCGTGTATATGGCGAGGAGAACGCCCCAGAGCATTCTCTGCGCCCATGTGCGTCCCATTTGGGTGCCGGCTGAATACCCAGTGTCCATTCAGCGTCTGCAGGAATGGACGCCAGACGAGTGCATACCCGAGTTCTACTCAGATCCCATGATCTTCAAGAGCATTCACGAGGATCTGCCGGATTTGGAGCTGCCCGCCTGGGCCACCTGTCCCGAGGATTTTATCTGCAAGCACCGCGAGGCGCTTGAGTCACAGTATGTCAGCGAGCGACTGCATCACTGGATAGATCTCAACTTTGGCTACAAATTGAGTGGCAAGGCGGCGGTGAAGTCTAAGAACGTCTGTTTAACCCTGGTTGATCAGCACCGGAATCTCAGCCAGCGCGGTATTGTCCAGTTGTTTGCACAGGCCCATCCGCCCCGCCGGTATGCCACACCCTGGTTCAATAAGACCGCTCCCAGACTGAGCCAACTGTACGCCAGTCCCTCGAAACGTTTGGCCAAAAGTACGGAAAATCTGCACACCGAGATGGGCCCGGGATCATCGTCACATCTCTCTGTCCGACTCGGTGAGGATAAAGGATCAAACGGATCGGTGCATAGCAGTTCAGCCAACTTTTATCCGGTGACCAACTACATTGAGCTGCCAGAGAACTATAATCCGACGCTGTTGTTGCAAAATCTGGAGGCCCTGGAGGCCTTCTATGCCCGTACATTTCCACAACAGCGGGCTACTGCTAATCCCGAAGAGAAGATGATCAGCAGCGATCTCTTGTTCGAGCAGAACTCGGCAGATCATTCGTTCACCAATCAGCTATTCGCCGCCAGCGGAGAGGAGATTCCCACCAAGTCGAAGAATCTGTTGCGGGAGGAGAAGAGGAGTTGCCTGCAACACTTGTTGAATGCCAGACGAGAGCGTGATCTGCAAGTCCTGGGGTGTCTCATCGTGGAGCTCTTTGCCATGCAGCGTTTGCGTCCCCTTCTAATGGGCAATGGACTGAGTGCCACCTTTGAGGCTCGACTGTCCGCATGTCGCACGGTGGCCCAGATGCATCGCCAGGAGCTGCCAAAACTAGTGCGTCGCGTGGTTCGTCTGCTGCTGCAACTGGAGGAGCCCGGCGAAGGTGACCAGGGTCTGCCGCAACCTCCGAATCCCGCACAACTGGTGGAACCCATGTTTGCCAATCTACTGCTCCCCTTTCCAAGCCACTATATAGCTGTCTATGCTTTGGTTCGATCTCTGCATGCCTTCGAAGCGAACGCGGTGCTCCTGGAACTGCAAACCCACTTTAGTTGCAAGGGCGGAAGAGAGTGTGCCCGGTACACAGAGATGGACCGACAACGTGTGGTGTTCGAACGAAAGATAGCCGAGTGCAAGGTCATGTCCTGCTGCGCCCACCTACGGCGACTCCTCGAACCCGTGGCCTTTGCATATGAGCAGTTCACACCGGTGGAGTTGCTCCTGCCACTCATCATCGATCTGCTGCGTGATGAACGAACCTCTATTTTGACCGCATGGAACTTGTTCGATCCCATAGCGCAGGCCTTGGGCGTGGCCCAGACCCAACAGCACCTGCTCCAACCGCTGCTCAAGCTCTACGACGTTGAGGGAGTCGGCAGCTCAGCGGAGGATGGCGGCGTCAATAACAGCGGCGGTCATTTAAAATTCTCGGCCAGCAGCTCTTTTAAGTCGCGGAAATCGGTGAAACTGTATCACCACAGTTTCCTGCTTCGTCTGATTGTGCGATTTGGCCTCCGCTGCTTCCTGCAGCACTTCATTGCCCCACTCATTGAGGCTGTTGGTGGCTACAAGGAGCCGGAGCAGGGCAATGGCTATCACTATCACAGTGGCGGCAGTAGAAGGACAAGCAAGAATCTCAACTATGCCGCCGCAGAGGAGGAACTGGACGACCAACCACCACCATCAAAACCGGACATCGAGGAGCTGTTTACATTCGAAGAGGATCAGGACCGTCTGTCCAGTCATGAGAGCAAATCTATCGACTCCTTCGACATGCGGCCGAGCAACACCAGTGCAGCCAGTGCGGAAGAGGCGCGGGAATCGGACGGCTCGCCGGATAAACTGGTGATTAATGAACTCATTTACGGCGCCAGAATATCTCCCGATAAGCTATCGCTGCGCGAGGGGCAAACACCGCCCGCTCTGGTACCACCTCCGCTTGGGCCACGCTCTCCCACTATCGAGATTCCATTGTGTCCCACTGCGACCGGTGGCATTCGTCGCAGCTTCCAGCTAAGCGCTATTGACTGCGACATTGGCTCACGAAAGAGTGTGGACAGCTTCGAGCTAATCAGTCAGGCGGTAGAGGAGCAACTACCTCCTTCAACGACGACGGCGGCATTGGAGACCGAAGCAGAGTCCACCGACTCCCTGCAGGCATCGGTCATCTCTCGTCTGTCGGAAGCAAAGGCCGTCCAGAACAACCGCATTAGCGAAATGAGCGCCGAGAGTTTGGTGTGGCTCTCGCATCGTCTGGGTCCGGTGCTCACCTCTCGTTACATCACTCGAAATCTGCTGAAGCTGCTCTCGCTATGCTATGTGGGCCAGGAGAACCTCCTGCCTGAGGTAGACGATGGGCACTTCAGCTCCTCACCGGAGGCGGCCAATCTCAACTACTTTAGTATAGCAAACGCAAGGGTAGCGGGCGATCGAGGTGCGGCTCGAGTGCTGGAATGTCTCATGTCCATAGCGGGTGAGTAAAGTATCTTCGTCTTTAGTTTATCCTTATAAAACCTTACCTATTCCTCTCCAGCTCTCTATGGCGAAAGCTTCCTTTTGCTGCAGTACTTCCCTCACATCAGCGAGCTAATTGGACTTTGCTCAAAACGGATCACTGGCAGCCTGGAGGGTGCCATCATCAGTTCACTGCAGCTGCTCAAGTACATGGTGCCGTGTCTGACCGATGCCAGCATCATGGAGCATCTGCAGCACATCCTGCTGGATGCCATTCTGCTGCCAATTCTCCGTCTGCTTAGCTCAACGAATCTCCAAATGCCAAGTGGCTATCTGGGAAGGTCGCTGCTGGCGCGAAAGTTCCTGGACGCCATCTATGCTCTGAGTGTTCGCCTAGGATCGGATATGACGCGGGAACATCTCTGCCAGTCTCTGCTGTGTCCGTTCTTTCTGATCTTCAACAAGGCCTTTGGACTGCCCAATGATTTTGCTGCCGATCTGGCCAATCTTTCACTGACTGGAGGAGGAGGAGCTTCGCAGCCGGAACGTGCTATGGAGGAATTGAGAGATGTCTTTGGGCCTGAGTTGGCTCACACCGCCTATCTGACCTTCTTGCGCTTCCTGGGCGAGGCCAACATGAAGCGTTCACTGACAAATCTGGAACTCGTGCTGACCCTGTGCCACGAACACGAACAACCCAGTGGAAATGGACAGAGCAAAACCCAATTATCTACCAGTGTGAGTTCCGGACAGGATGTGGACACGGTAGACGGCACCTGCGAGCTGGCTGCCAATAGTTTTGGTACTCAGATCGTGGGTAATCGTCTGCAGGTTCAGGCCAGGAGCAACGTGGAGCTGCTTGACATGGTGGCCTACAAGCTGGACCAGATGCCCAGCACCCGACACTTGAAGGGCAACTGGTTGGCATATTGGCGGAATGAGACCACGCGCAGCGAAAAGGATAACCAGGCTCTCAATCTCAAGCAAATACGACTGCAGTCCTTTGTGGGCCACACCAATTCCGTGAGAGCCATTTACGCCCTGGACAATGAGAACAGCTTCGTTTCCGCCTCCAAGGATAAAACCGTGAAGCTGTGGTCACTACGCAGCGAGGGAGATGGCAGGAAGACCAGCGCCTGCCAGTTCACATATACAGCGCACAAGAAGTCCATCAATTCACTCAGCTTCCTGGAATCCCTTCGCTATGTGGTGTCCTGCGATTCGGGAGTACATCTGTGGGATCCGTTTATCGGGCGACCTCTGGGTATACTGGATGCTCCGCGACACAGTGCTGTAACCGTGGTCAAATGCCTTCCCTCGCATTCCCCGCTGGTTGTGGCCGGCACCGCAGAGTCCACGGTGAAGATGATCGATGCCAGGAGCATGGAGTATGTCAACGAGTGGCGGGTGTGCAATGCTACTCTGCCCAATGCGACTGTACGTTGTCTGGCAGTAGCTCCCTCTGGCAATTGGCTGGCGGCTGGACTCTCCTCCGGCTGCATAGTCCAGCTCGATACGCGTACCGGCATGGTGATCAACTCATGGAGGCCAATGGAGTGCGATTTGCTACAGCTAACGGCGCCGAGTGATCAGTTCCTGGTGAGCTCCGCATTAGATCATTCCCTGGCCGTTTGGCATGCCCTGGATGGCATTATGCACTATCAGCTCAAGTAAGTTATATTGAAGTAATCATGTAGATGAGCTATAAGCTTTACTTTTTCACTTAGACCTCCACCGGAACCAGCCCATTTCCTGCAGAGCGTTGGTTCTTCCTTGGTCTACGCCACCACGGGCAACCGCGTGGGCGTTTATGCGGATGTGGCTCATTCCCATGCCTTCAACACGATTACCAAGCTGCGATCCGAGACCTTCCGCGGCGTGCTTACCTCGCTGGCCGTCCTACCGCTGAATCGAGCCTTCCTTGCGGCAATGAAAGCGGTCACATTGCCCTGCTTTGTTAGAAGCTATAAAGGTGTGTGTAATCACCATGATATTATCAGGGGTGCCAAGGAAATCACTGCTGTTTTGAATCCTTTAGAAAATGTGCCCAAAAATATGTAGTACAAAATATTTTAGGTTTCAGATCCACAGCGATTTCTGTGGTACCTCTGTACACTATTTAACAATTTATTTAGTTTATTTTGTATATCCAAATGGCACCAAATATTATTTTAAAATGCAATACTGACACAGGTTGAACGTTGCTATGAGAGTAAAATAAATCAACGAATGACGGACTCTGTGAATTTATTAAGAAAAGTGCTTAATAAGTTTTAAGATCAGTCGTTGATAGTTTAAAAGCGACGTTCTTCAATCTTATAGAAATTATTCATTATACTCGAAAACATTATTAATCCCATTAAGCATTCCAGATAAACAATTTATGTATAGATCTAGCAAATAGGTACAACAAAGCAAAGTGTATTTACAATTAGAATTGCTTAAGCTGGAAAGAGGTACATTATTTCTTAAGAAATATACAAATAAAATAAACAAATATTTGTGTTTTCGTAATTTGTCATGAATATCATATATTATTTAGACAATTGAGAAATGATTCGAATTAGTATTGCTTCTATTTAATATTTTAAAGAGGAATGCCAATGAAATCAATGTATATTTAAATCAAACTTAATCATACAAGCTTTAATTAATTTAAAATTTCCTTTGCTTTTGATAAGAACCATCTCGATAATAGGTATCCGAGACGTATATCAGCTTCCCAAGTGCCTTATATACATGATTCATTCTCACTTCCTGATTAATAAGACCTGCGATCGCAGTCGGGAACCAGTTTGCTGGACACAATCAGAATGCGTTGCTGTGTGTGCTCTTTCTCGATTTCCTTTTGCTCATCGCCTTGAGCTGGGACAATGAACTTGCTGGGAGCATCAGCAAAAACTGCACAGCAGCTGGAGCTGGAGAAACAGCACAGGCAGAAGCGACGTTGCATCCCACCAGCGCGGAGAAGGAGATCGCCAGGGTGCGAGAGAGATGCAAGGGTATATGGGAGATTGGCCATTCGGAGGCGTTGCATTTATTTTTGGGCGATACCAGGCGATGTGGAGATGGGTATGGGGATGGGGATGGGGACGTTGTCGTCTCTTTATGGCAACTTTTTTTGCATTGGCATTTTTGTTGTGCTGTCGCTGCTGCTTCAGCTGCTGCTGCTGCTGCTGCACTCTTCGAAGTCTGGAGTCAGGTCGACGACGTATGCGTAAGACAATGATTCTGGGCGCTTGTTACAATGAGGATTTGCAGAGGACAATAGTGCGTCTAACTCCAGCGGCATCGCCACCTGAATCTCCAGGCCACCACACCCACCCACTGGGAGGTGGCGGTGGGTGCCCAGCCAAGTGCCTGCACTCTGGAACAGGTACTATAGTATCCACTTTGATGGAGGAACACAGCCCAACCATGTCACCTTGAATTTAAGGAGTCTCCTTGGTAGTGCGTAAACTGTGCAGGGTATAATGAGGTGATGTGGGGGGGCAGGGCACTTCTCACTGCCCCATCACCACCCTTTCCCTTTCCCAAAGATCGACTGAAACAAAACTAGTTGGTTGGACGGCCTGCAGACTCATGGGTATTGGATCGTCATCGCTTCTTGTCCAGGCAGCGATTGTGAACAGGAAGATATTGAAAATGCCCTAATGTGATGGATCATTACCTTCAATAATTAATAAATAATGTTATTAAATTAGCAAGATGTTTAATATTGTATTGAATATTTCAGAGCAATTTGTTTAAATGTGAAATCGATCATAACTAAGCCAAAAATGCCTTAAATTAAATTCTGAAAGCTTTCTTATGCTCGTTTTTTATTAGGTTAGTAATTCTGCAAAATAAATTTATAATTAAAGAAATAATTAAATTAATTAAAATTTTTGTAAATTTTGTAAAAAATAAATTTAGACGGACATAGTTTGAAAGACTCGGTTTTTGATGCTGATCAAGAATATATTTGATTTATAGGGTCGGAAATTACTCCTTCACTGTGTTTCAAGCTTCTGACTAAAATTAAAATACCCTGTAACGCAAAAGAAATCAATATTTGTCAAAAATGTATAATTAAGTTAGGTTTTATATTTTAGTTTACGTTTATAAAAATCCTTAATACAAATTGCAGTATCACTTTGAATTATAATTAAATAATGGGGTCCATGGCAATAGGTGAATTAATTAATTAATTAATAAGAAAATAAGTGCATAGCTAGCTCAGCTGATTCTTGACGTAGGCCTGATCCCTCCTATAGCATCTATATGCATGATATAATTGTCATGGCTAAGACTTACCGCAGTGGAGGACACATGGATATCCTGTATAGTCATTGCTTGCTGCTCTTCTTCTTCCCTGCAGACATCGATTAGGTATGTATCATCCAATTGGAGTTCTTCCTGGTTATCCAGATATCCAGGTGACACTTCTGGGGTCGAAGGGTAATCATCATCACTTTCACTATAGATGTAAACACTCCAAAGGCCGCGAACAGAATGAGGCCGGCAGGCCTGCAGCGACTGTATTTATAGTCTCAGAGAAAACAAGAGAACAGAGAAAGTAAGAGCGTGAGAGCGAAAGAGGGGTCTCGAGCGATAGGCAGGGAAAAATAGGAGAAAGAGCTATCTCCAGAGATACACAGAGAGAGACATACAGAACAATATAGTGAGAGAGAGAGAGGGAGGGGAAGGGGCAGATAGAGATAGAGAAAAGGCTCACTGCTGTTACAATATAATATTGTTGAGAGAATGGAAGCTAAATTCGGCAAGCGGAAGCTTGCCATTGCAAATAGCAATTCGATTTTTAATAATTAATACAATATTAAATTATTTATACTTATTTAAAAAAAAACAACAAAGTAATACTTTATTTTATTATATTAACCGACTCATTTTAAATTTATAGTTGTACACACACCGTTTAAATTTTACTCTACTTATCTAATCGAATCCCTTTGATTTTAATTCGAAAACACCCTTATTTTTATCCAAGAGGCAATATCAAATTGCCGCCTCCATCTGCCAGGCTAATGATAACATTTATAGTACGTAAGTAACCACGTTCGTGAACCCCCCACCCCAAGGTCAACACCAACCACCCACCCACCCACCTCACATCCCAATGATAATGTGGGGGACTGCCAGAGAGTCAAGTCGCCTAACAACGTCACAGTCACGCGCAGTGAGAAAATATACACGACAATAACAATAACACGAACAAAGGCCGGCGGCACGACAGACATGAAAATGTGGGGAATTCGAAATTTGTGAGAATCGCGCTGCATGAAATTTCACTCAGCTGCCCGAACAGGCAAGCAGACCTGAAAGCAGACGGCTTCGTTATGCGCGGAATGCGGCACAGTGGCCGTGGAACGCAACGCTCGTACAGGGTTGCCGTGCAGCACTCAGCGCGACCGGCCACCTGTAGCGCCTCGATCCAGTCGGGTGGTCTGACAACCCTAACGTGGAATGCTGCCGTTTTGAGATTCCGAAATATGCGGTCGGGAATGCCGCCCCAAAATTCCAACATGCCGGCGGATGTGAGCGAGATGGCGCGACAGGCGTTGCCAGAGCTGCTGTCGGTGTGCACGAGCATTTTGAGACGGCAAAATGTTACCAACATACAACCGAAAATTCGCACCAGGCCAGCAGCATTAACAGTGGGCGGCAGCGTACAAAATCCACTGTCCCCCAAAGCAATCGACGCGGCAGCGGCAGCGCAGTCTGTGGCGCATTGAATGGGCCTCAAAATGTTACCATACACTCGAAAAATGGCAACAGGCGCTGAGCAAATGCACAAGCAGTGTGCGGGTGCGCTGTTTATAAATTCGAGACGTTTATGCCATCAATTTTATAACTCACACCCCCGAGCCGGGGGCGACGAGCCAATAAATTCTCGCCGGCCGCGATTCGGGCATACGTATTTTATAGTCGCACATTGCAGATCTGACATAATAACTAAGAGGAGCGCAGAATGTGTAGCAGCTCGGCTGTTAGCGCCGCCCCGCTCGCTGTTACCGCCTGTTTGTCTCTGTGTTGGTGGGCACTCGTAATTAGCTCTTTTTCGGCGCGCGTCGTTGTCGTCGTCATCCCTCTCGCTCTCTGGGCGTTGCTGGAATTCTATAAAATCGAATTTTTAACGTTCAAATGTTAACAGAGCCGCAGGAGCGGCCGAAACCTGGCCTTGCGCGAGTGGGTGCTGCTCTTATCGATTTCCGTCATGTTAATGCTGTAAGCCTGCTGCTAGTTAACAGGCGCCCACCCCATGAATTGGCATTATTAGGATTGCCAAAATCATAGAAAGACGATTAATGCCGGGAGACAGCAGTCTCTCAGCTGCCCATCTGTTGGCCATGAGAGTAAGAGGGACGGCAGTTTTCGTCTACGGGCAATGTGGGTACCCAGTGGGAAATTTGACACCACTGTGGAAGAAATAATTTTCCAAATTAGCAAATTTACATTTTTTTATAAGGTCAAGGATATGTGGATTAAAGTCCTCCCACAGTTAATCCTTTAATCACAAGCAAAACTTAAAAACATTAAACATAGTATTATTATAATTTTATCTCAACCGAGAACGATTCATAGAGAAAATTCGCAACAGGGTTCAATGGCGTTTGCACGAAAGAGGAGCGAGATGGCTTTCATCTATAAACAGTGGGTGGCCTGTAGGAAATGTGATAGAACTCAGAGAGCAATTCTTAATTTTTAAATAAACAATAAATTTATAAATATTTATTATATTTATGTAAATAACGCCAGCTACAATACTTTTGCGCATAGCAAGGCTAACTAACCTTAGGAAAACGAAGTTTGTCTTCACTTGCATTATTTAAACTAAGCAAAACTATAATTATTTCAATTCTGAAACCTTTTTATGCGACTTTTTATTAATTTAACAAATATGCATATATTTTTATCATTTAAAATTTTTTTTAAATTTTTAAAAATTTTTAATAATTTCACATGTAACCCCTCATGAAATTTTTGAAAAATGTATAAAAATTATTTTGTGTCAGATATGGCTAAATCGACTCGGCTATAGATGCTGATCAATAATATATATGCTTTATAGGGTCGGAAATGACTCGTTCACTGCTTCTTACGTTCCTGATATTAATACCTTATACCCCTAGACCAATAACGAATCTGAGCAGCAAGTTCGCAACGGGGATTCAAATGGTGTTTAAACATGAGCGGGAGCGAGACACCCTACGTCTACAGGCAGTAGGTGCCCTGTAGGAAATGTGATGCATGTGTCAGAGCAGTTAATAATTTTAAATATGCAATAAATTTATATACATATTTTATTTTTCTATTAATAAGGTCAAAGAATGATGGTTTTACCATGTAAAATAATGCTGTAATTTCAAATTCATTTTACAAAAACAATTATTTTTTCTTATTTGTTAAATGTTTATGCAACAAACAAAAAACAAATAACAAATTAACTTTACTGAAAGCTTATTTTTTATAATATTAACAAATCTGAATACTAAATTTATAATTTAAAAAAGTATAAAAATGTTTGTCAATTTTTGACTATTTTCACCATGTAGCCTCTGTGAAATTTTTGAAAAATTGGAAAAAATTATTTTTGTTTCGAACATGGCTAAATCGACTCGTCTGTTATTGCTGATCAATAATATATATGGAATATAGGGTCGGAAACGACTCCTGCGCTTTAAGCTCCTGACTGAATTTATAATACCATGCAAGTATATATATTCTAAGTAGCAAATTCGCAACAGGGATTCAAATGGCGTCTACACGAATGAGAGAGCGAGACAGTGTTCTTCTACGGGCTGTTGTTGCTCTGTAGGAAATGGAATAGAACTGTGAAACCAATTTTTTTATTTTCAAATATGTATTTATTATTCTTATTCGTATATTAATAATGTCAATAGCTTCTCACCATGTAATGCTATATTTTTGCCATATCAAATTCTCATAAATAATTGTGGTGTTTTATTATTAAATTTTTATCAAACAAAAATATATAAATTTAATTTACAAAAACGAAATATTATTTTCAATGTTATTTTACTTTTTAAAAGTCAAGGATTGTATTTAAGTTGAGATGATTTTAAAATAAAACGAAATATCACCATTCCCAGAACAATTCTAAGCAGCAAATTCGCCACCGGGATTCAATTGGTTATCATACGAGTGAGGGAGCGAGACGACCGTATATGGCACAGCCCATTCTGTGGGCAATTTAAACTCGTATGGATTTCACTACGAGAAAGTCAACGGCCATAATGGCCGACACAGCTTCTTCGTGCCGCTGAGCGCCTGTTCGCAAACGATTAAATTCAGTTTAATCATCCACTAAACAGCTACGAGATACCGTTTCGTTCGTTATTATTATTATTACATGCAACAAGTCGGCGGCGGGCATACAATAAGAGGAATGTCGAAAACGACACACACAGCATACAGCCCCCGGTCGCAAACAAACGAATCGAATTGCGGCGCAAATTGGATTATCCGGAGTGAGCATCACCGAACGAAAGGGAAGCTGAGTGCAGCAGGCACATCTCTCTATCTCTCTAATCCCTCTCTACTCTCTACGCTCGTCTCACTCGCACCTGTGGCGACGGCTTCTAACGGCGTTTCTATTGAGTTTCCCTTGAAAATCTAATCGCTCGCTCGCCGCCCGGTGCGCTGCTAAATCTCCTGGAGACCTAGTATAAATGTTTGTTGTTTCTTAAAGAGCAAGAAGAAGCCCCATTTCAGCCGCTGCCGCGCCACACTCACTCCACACGACCGCGTCGTGGTCTATTCGTCGTCATGGTGTGTCGTGTTGTGTGTCTGCACGTACGTGTGTGGGAAACACACAACTGCAACATTGTTGCTATGCTCCTCTCGCTCTGGATTCGCCGCCCGTCGCCCTCTTGCTGGGCTAGCCAATCATCGCTTTCAACGACCGCGTAGAAATGTTGTAAACCGCTTCTAACAATTCTGGTGGCCTGGTTGCGTGTGGAACATTCGCTGAATTGAAACGCGCTCTCGGTATCGCGGATTGGTTGGACTCGGGCAAGCAACAAAGAAGCACAACTTCTTCAACCTCGCCGGTGGTTGGACTGGGACTTGAATTTGTACTGGCGGCTGGATTGCGATTGCCACCACCTCTGGGAAATGGCGCGAGTGTGCGCGGAGGGTGGCAGTTGTCGTTTCGATTGCCTTCATCAATTGTTCGTATCTATAGATACGGATACAGATACGGAATGAATAAATTGTCACTGGGGAAAATGCAGCTAAACATTTGAGAAATTTGTTGCCATGAAAGTTTATCTTTGAAATTGAGCTTGTTTTGCTCATAAATTAAGAAAGAATGGAATTAAGAAAATGTATTTCAATGCTTAAATAATTGTTTTCTTTAAAAAATGATTCATTTATATAACTCGCTGATGATTTATCGACATGAAAATATTAAATTTATATCTTGCTTGTGCCTCGGCAATAAATTTACAAGATCTGCTATTTAAAAAAATCAAACTGTTTTTAAATGCCAGCTTTTTTGGTTTGTATTTTTGGAACTCTTGCAGTTCATTGCATCTTAGAACTAATCAACTCATATTTTAATGTTCATTTCCATTTCACTGATCCATCACTATACCCTTCAATTTTGGACACTGAGAGCCAACGTATCGCCACTTACACTGGCCACACTCTCCTGACCGCCAGATGAACCAGATAGATTCTGCTTCTCCCGAATGCCCAACCAGGGAAGTCGGCGTTCCAACTCCAGGCGGTATTTGGGTGACTGGTGGCATAAACCCAAGGATCCAGGCAGGATACCGATTTGCAGGCCAGGCAGGGAAGCATGGACACGAAAGGCGTAATGAGGTGTTGCTCTCCGAAGCATCCAATTAGGGCCACCACGGAGTACGGAGTCCAGGCAAAAACGAACAGCATGTAGATTATCAAAGCCGCCTTGGCTATCCGCAGCTCCACGCTCATGTTATCAGCATTGGCATTGGCCGACAGCGACTTGACATTCATCTTCTTGGCTTGCTCCGCCAGCATCTTCTCGTGGGTGCGCACATGGGTGAAGAGCTTGTAGTAGGAGACCAGGATAATGGTCATGGGAATCACGTAGGACCACACGAATATCGTACGCACAAACAGCCGGTTGTCATCCGTGTTGGTCAGATAATCGAAGGAGCAGGTGGTCAGGAAGCCCTCTTAAAAATATTTCAAATAAATCGTTGTATAATCTATGATCTATATTTAATCACACTCACCTGGCCGATAGCGTCCCCAGATCTGAAACAAGGGCAAATCGAAAAAGGCGTGGCCCACAGCCAGGTGAAGATAATGCATAGGATTATTTGTCCATAACTCAATCGTCCATCAATGGGATTCGATATGGTCTTGTACCTATCAAAAGCAATGAAGGCATTCGTTATGGATGCACCCATTCCAGAAATACCTCCATTCAGAGCATATATATCGCAGCCAAGATCTCCGCCCACAATATAGCCAACGGTAGCGTTGAGGAGATAATGTGGCATATTGGAGCACATGAACAGATCGAAAATGGCCAGGTTCAGAATAAGTAAATTGGAAGGAGTTCGCAATGATTTAGACCTATAAATTACAAAAGCTATTTAATGTTAAATTTCCCAAGAACACCATTATCTTACGTGGAAAATATCCAGATGACCATTCCATTACCGAAAATATTTGATAGCATAAGGACGATAAATGCGATATAGAAGCCGGCGTGATAGTAGATAGGTGCTTCCCGGAATCCTCGCCAGTGGGCATGCACCAGGTGCTGGTACTCCGCCGGATAATCATGTCCCATGGGAAAGACGCTTCCATCTCCGCCGGAACTGTCATTCATTAGGGCCAGCGGCCCGCTCGGCTCGTTGAGATGCATTTTCAGCTTGATCCGCCTCCAATATTCAGTGTCCTCTGGAGTCCGACATGTCGGACCGTGACTTGTCTCACCTTTGCCTGCCCTGCGGCAAGTGCCATCAAAATGCTTTTATAGCCAGGCCCAAGAATCTAATTAAGATGGATTAAGAGGTGCCAATGTCATTGGGGTGTGCGTGGGCATACCTTAGAAGGATAATCCCAACGTCTAAGCCACAGCTTAAGACATTCTACGCCGCTCAAGTTACGAATGTCAATGCGTCAGCGAAAGACGGTCAAAAAAGTGAGTCGATGGCTGAATATCTTTTAAATAAAAATTGTTAAAATATAACACGTTTCTATATCATTTACCTTAGTTGGCCACAGATTACTTATCAAAGCATTGTTTTCTTCCAACTGGAAAGTCATCAGAAAATCATTCCAACCTGAAGCTGGAAAAGATAAGCATCTCAAACCATGTGGGCAAATATATTGATCGTCTTAATTTTACCTCTGCTTCCAGCACATCATCGTTCGGCGTTAAGGTTACCTTCTTGCGACCCAATGAGCCACACGTCCAGGATGTCCAAGCGATGCTCCCCATGCTAAACGTCGCCATGGGATGTATGTTTTTGTAAGGAAGCCACAGAGCCGTCTTTGGGGAACTTATTCCAGACCAGTCGCCTGCGCCTGGAGATTACCTCTGACGGAGACTACAAGCAGTATAAGGGGTACTCCTTAAAGAAGTTTACAAGGCGCACTATAAAGTAATGGAGGACTTTGAGGGGAAACCGCTGGGCATGGAGACAAATAAGCATCGGCTAATCTTACTGAATGTCTATAAGGAGACCTACTATGGCATCTACACGAACAGGAAGTTTGTGGTCACCCTGGAGGAAACTCCTGCGATTTTGAGCGGGTGCCCAGTTCATATTCGGGCTTCTTCTATGGGCTAGTTGCCCCTTCCTGGTGAAATCGCGGCTCTGGGTTTACTGCTCAGCAGCGGCATTGGGCGCCCATCTAGCTGGCGTGTTTGCGGTTTTCCTAACTGTGGTCGCAGCGGTGGAGAACCTAGCTTTGCTCGTCTATGTCCGCTCAAGGCAAACTTCAAGCAGGTGTACGAGGAGCGACCCGTTCTGGTGATCCTGATGCTGTTCGCTGGTGCCTGGATCTTCCAAGCTGGAGCTAAGAAGGTTCGCTTTCTGTGGAGATATCGGAGCATTCGCTTCATTTACTGTCGCCTGATAAGGGGCGTCGCCTACTTACTAATTCTCCATGCCTCCGATCTGGACACCTTTGGAACGTTTTGCGTGATCGTGTTGTTCCCATTGCCAGAACTTTGGCATCTTTTCAAATTCCTCAAAAGACAGGCGATCCGGCGTCTCTCCAAGTGGTTTCTGCGTTCTGGGAGGAGTTAACGAGGACAACAGGTCGAGGCGGGTGGACACTTCAAGGCTTTCGCCAGCTGCCCCAGAGAAGATAATGCCGTGGAAATTGAACAAATGATCCGAATTCTCAATATCCGTTTGCAGTTATGATAGCAGCAGCTTTAACAACATACACTTGCAAAGCGACCAGGACCAGTTGGATCGACAAGGTTGGATGTTCGAGGCTCAGCAGGACAACTAAAACTGCAGTTCTTCTATGATCCACCTGAAACACGATATTTCTATACCATATTCCGAACCTGATTAATTATAAATATCAAAATTAAATTAAATTAAAATGTTCATCATCCAAAAAAATTATATTTAACTATTCCTATAATTCTTTATAAGCTAATAATCACCCTAAGGAATAATTAAAAATGTACTCTTTTGAATTTAATATAATTTAACTATTAAAGACAAAAATCTTATCCTTATTAAACAAAGCTAATAAGTTTCATTTTGACCCACTTTTTCGGTGTCACAGAATTTCTTAACGGTTTCGGAGTGAAGTTTAGGTGAACTGCTTTAAGTGTGTAGGACCCCAATTTTCCTGGGGAAACCCGTTATTCATTCTCATTTGCCATTCCATGCCTGACTTTAAAAAACATAAAAATAATATGTATAAACACACACTTGCCGGTAAAATGTGTATTTTGTTCCCCAATTTGACATGTAATTATACTATTACATCCGTTTACTGTATTACCACTGAGAACGGCAAGTAAAATTCGAATTTTAACGTCGCTTTTTGGGCCGCTTGCAGCGACAAATGCGGTGCGAGCGAACACTTGCACGACATTTTCCGACATCTAGGCACGGGCTCGCAGGCTGCAGTAGCAAGCGGATTCCGGCATTCGCCACGAGCAACATCCATGGCATTCACATTAATCTCGTTTTCGCGGGTTTAGCCGCCTTCGACCTGTTTCTTTCAGACGCAAAAATGCGCACCGGCGCCCAGCATGCGAGAGCGGTTGCTGCAGACAGAGATGACACTATACTGTAAACACCACCAGATAACAGTCAGCACAGCCTTTGTCTCACTCTGGCGCAGGCAGTTGGCGGTTGGAGATGTATGCGCCCCTGGTTGGTTCGGCGCTGTCATTTCACAATGACCCACCTTCACGACTGACAGCGACGGCAAAATCGCGTCGCGTCGACATCGCCTTCGAGTCGCGCGATTCCGCCGCTTGTCTCTGATTGTTGTTCTTGCGGCTTGTCGTTTGGCTTTGTTTGTACAACAAACAGTGCGGAGGCGGCGACGGTGTTTTATTATATCAACAACAAAAAACAAAAACAGCAACATTTTCATTAGGCGGCCAGAAAATAACGTACACATGACGACAAGAACACAGGCCGAACAGGCCAAACTCAAATATACATGGGGTAAACAAGAACAAAAACAAAAATAAAGAACAACAAAGAAGCGCAACAACAAAAACAAGGCCCGCAGTTGATTCGCTCCGCCTTTGTTGCGAGGCGGAATTCGTGCCATGTATCGAGAATTTAAACAGGGGTTGTTGGCACTCTGTGCACCCTACGCATTAACGGAATGGTCATTATTCTGTATAAATATTATTTGCAAGTTGAATTAATTTGTTTTATTAAACATTAAAATTATTTATTATTTCAAATAATAATATGTTAAATTCTTCATGGTTATACAAAATTTAAATCGGCCTGCCACATTTAGTTGTGACAATTATATTATTGTTAATAATCAAGTTCTAAATCGTTTATTTTGTATTACTTCATAATAGTTTATTTATTGAATTCTCTATTTCTCTCCCTTGTCTAACACTTTAACCAATATGCCCGACCATTTGTAGAGCTCTGCCAGAATGAGACCTCTGCTGACACGCAACGTCTCTCGATCTCATTCTCGCTGCCGTTCTCGTTAGCCTCGCCCGTTGCCAACCTTCGGCTCTCGCCTTGACCGTAATTTGGGGGCCGTTCCCATTGCCATGTGAAGGACGCACCTTGAAACTCAAGGATTTTGCGAATTTTGCGAAATTTCGCAAACTTTTTCGGCAATCAGTAGGTCAAAGCGAATTTTGGCAAACTTGTGGAGCTGTTTGATGGGCGGGAACTATCGGTGGAAGGGGAAGTGTGCGATGATGGGGTTTCTGGTCGACTGTCGATGACATAAGCAACTCGTCGTCGTTTTCAAGTGGCATTGAGATGCGCGAAACAAGTTCCCCTTCGTTTTTTGGGTACTTGTGGTGGAGAGGGGGAGGCGTTGTATTCACTCGATGCGTGGCGGGTTAAATGAACTCTCCCCGGCGCGTTTTCCTCGCCTTGGAGCTGTATTTCGGGTGGCGCGGTGGCCACCAACTAGGCATCTTTGGGCGCCTCATAGCACAGGTTGTGATTTGAGCTTTTTTGGAAGCTAAGGTTAAGGTTATTCGCTAATTGCGGCGGTAACTAACCACAGTCAACCCGAGTGGGAGTGGCTGTCGCGTTGATCCGTTGGTGGTGCACTGGGGCGATGGTTTGTCCACGGTTCGATGGTTGATTGGTACACGGGCGGTGTCAACGCCTCGCTTGTCCGTCCCGTGCTCGATAGTGCGGTCAGTCAGGCCCCAAAATCCAGTTTCGTGAACAGGCGCGCACGACCGAGCAACAAGTGGACGCCGCCCCGGCATTGGCGTCATCGTCATCGTCGGCAGCGGGGCAAATCAGCTCCAAGCATTTGTTTGTGCTTGGTCAGGGCGTGGTCTGCCAGTCGACTGGCCAGTGGCTCCACGGGGGAATGGAAATGGGACTGGGACCGGGAATGGGGCTGGATATGGATGAGGGGAAGGAGCGAGCAGTGGAGCAGCTCGACTAACTTGGCACTGTTCCAAAAAGGCCAGGCATGGAGTAAATTAGAGCGTTGCCAGCCTCAGGGTCACTCCAGTTTTCCCTTTGTTTGGAGCATATTTAGTTCAAGGCTATCCCCGTTCACATAGTGGGTCACAGCCATGAGGCTGGTGAAGTTCAAGGTGATATTGTACAGGGAATTCTTAACGGCTTCTAATAATATTCGGAAAATATTAACAACTTAATTTTATTGTTTATTGAAACCTTTACTTAATTTAAAGACAAATATAGAGATGAATTCTTTATACATTGTAGCCCTTTTGAATGTTTATATATTTTATTTAAATGTGACAATAAATTTAAAACTCGTTACCAAAACTTTCGTATTTATAATTAAGAAACTAACTAATATTGAATAAATACACGACATTTGAAAACTTTAAATAATCACCTATGCAAATAATCAAAATTATTTTTAAAATTCAAATTCAACTCAAGCCCGCCAAATTGAATGGCATATCTCTTGCTCCCTCATTTTTATCCACTTAATTTGGCGCCTGTTAAGCAGCTCCCCCGTTTTGGAGCAGTAGGGTTACTCGCAGCAGAAAAAAAAGGCGAGGCAAACATCAAAAGCTGACCACCACACGCTGACCACCAGCGCCTCGCCAGCGGAGTGAGAAGGAGCATGAGCATGGACGGAATCTCGAAACTTGGAGCATTGCCAGCTCACACACACGCACTCAAACAGGTTTCCCCCAGCTGCCTCTTCTCTTTTTTTCTTGGGGCAACATACACATACATACACACACACTTAGACACGAGGCGACGAAACTATAGTTGGCTCTTTTTCACTCACGTCCGCCCAACGCTGGTCGCCTGTTACGATGCATGAGGGAAAACGTTGAACGCCCACAATGGACGGCTCTTAGTTCGTTTCTTTGCCGTTAGTTAATCGGCCGGCGGCATTAGGCGATAGTTTTGCCCAGATTTAGCTGTTTGCAGTAGTTTCTGTGGTTTGCTGCTGGCCCAGCATAAATTTGTGCAATAAGCAAAATGACGGGCACAAAACAAAATGTCCGGCCGGAGTGGGCCGCCGCCGACTTCCGCCGACGGCTCTGTGGAGCTCTCTCTCTACATGATCCGCGTCGCGCCGCCATGCAATTTAGTTTCTAGGCGGAGGCAGCACACACTCGCCATCTTATCACACGGGGTAATGGTTATAGTCGTAGAACCTCGGTCGCGTTGAGCGTTTGGGGGCAATTTTCCGTTTTCTGTTGGCCTGTGATGTGAGCAAACAAAATGACTGCTCAAAATTGAGCAAAATGTTCGAGCGATTCCAAAGGGGGCGAGTGTAGTGTGTGTGTTTGCATTAGAAATTGCCGTTCAAACAAACAATGTTGTTGTTTTTTCTCCGTTTTCTCCGCTTTGTGTTGCACAGTGGGAAAGAGAAAGCGAGACAGCAGACAGGCAGAGGTGCGCACAGCAGGGCTCGCATTTGTGGGCGTGTAGCATTGGGTTTTTTGTTGCCTTTTTTCCCGCAGGTTTTTATTGCCCCCACTTAGAGGTGGCGCCATCTGTCAGCCAGTCGTTGAACCAGGCACTTTGATTCGATTTTGCCCTTACTACCGCCAATACTAATGCCCGGCAGAGCGAGAGAGAGAGCAAGTGCTGCGCTGGCAGAGTTTGTTCGCTTTAAAGACTTTTAATAATCACACTAGTTATGGCCTTAAACTGCCGCAATTTGTCAGCCTTGCGAATTTCTTTGCCTGCCCACACAGACGCAAGCCGCCGGCTACACACACACGCACACCGGCACGACCAGTCACATTGAAAACCCCTGCCATTGTGTCACTATCGTTGTCCCGCTCGCACCCAAGCAACTAGAGAACTGCACAAACGCCGCACGAATTCGCTGCCATTTCGCCGTGCTACGATTTCTGGTTGCCTGGTGAAAAAGAGGGAATTCACTTTTGGCGGGGTCTCGTTTGGATTTTTGTCCAATCGGCCTTTGTGGGCGCTGCTGTCTGAATTTGCCGCTCCGCCCGTCCGACGACGAGTCCGAGCAGCGATACCTGATAAGGCGGTCGCAGCTGATAAGGCCCTGCCGCCGCCCCCGCCCTCTATTTGACTGGCTGGGATTACGTTCCTCCCCGTCGGCTTTTAAGGGGAGTAGTTAGTAATTGGCGTTAAATGGGCAGCAGCAAATTAATTCGCATGGTAGGCGTGGTTGCAGGCCTCCGCCCACATGGTCCGCCACTCCGGGAGTAAGGAGTCGGCAGTCCGGAACACGTGCCATGCGGCTCGGAACAGAAGTTCCAATTCCAATTCCGACGACTGCCGTCAAAGCTACAATGAAATTCGACAACGGCGACAATCGTTGGCTGAGCGAACCACATACCGGATTCGCTCCATAGCTGGGGAACGATTTTTGCCCCACCACACACGCGCCCTGGCAGGTGGAGACGTGCACCGCTCGTGGTGATGGCGGACTTTTTCAGACACGTTCGGTTTTCGGTTCGGTTTCTACCAGGCGATCAGGAATCATAGCGGACATTCTGGCTCATCGCGCAAACCAGCAACCGCTCGGCTGGGAAACAACAACTGCCGGTGCACAGTGGGACTGAAAGAGTGAGAATGTATACAAATTCGAATTGTGCTAGGAGGTATATAATATATGGCTTAACTTTATCCAAATCGGTGATTAATTTTTATTAATTATACGAATTCAGTGGAAAGAATTTTTACTACTGAAAATTAAAAGAATTTTGTACTCTTGATTGGGTTTACAGTTTTTGTAATCTCTGCCTATGAGGATAATTGTGTTTTTTTAGACTTTGTATTCCACGATTATATCTAAGAAACGTTGAATTAAAAAATGACCTTTATGACCGGTCACCACCCACAATCCCCACATTAACCATATAATTTTCCACTGTGGAAAAAACCAGTAACTTGAAGTTCACACACAGTGTGCCCAAAGCCCTGGAGTTTTCCCGTGGCGCATTCCATTTCTTGGGATTCATTCGGAGTTCGCCATGCGACCCCACTGAAAATAATCAGGTGAAAGCGACTTCGGAATCGTTCGACAGCGATAAGTTTACGACTGTGATTAGTTAACCAGCAGCGACGACGGAGGTGAAAGTTCAAGCAGCCAACATGTCAGCAAAGGCGGTCAAGTCAAGCAAGCCCAGCGCCTCCAAGGAGCCGTCTGCGGTCACGAAGCTCTACCTGTTCGCGTACAACGCCGGACAGGTGGCCGGTTGGAGCTACATCCTGTGGCAGCTGGTCAACTACTACCTGTTGCAGGGTCCCGAGTTCCGGGCGCAGCAGACCCTGTGGGATTACACGCGGCTGGCCGTGATCATCTTCCAAAACGCCGCCTTCGTGGAGATCCTGAACGCGTCCTTTGGCCTGGTCAAGTCCAACCCTGTGGTCACTGGGTTCCAAGTGTTCAGCCGTATGATGGTTGTTGTTGGCGTTGTGATGGCCACGCCCACGGGCAAGGTGTCGCCCGGTCTGCCGATTGCCCTGTTCGCCTGGGCCATCACCGAGATCATTCGATACGGATACTACGCTCTTAACATTGTCAAGGTTGTGCCTCACTTTGTGGTCTTCCTGCGCTACACTACCTTCATTGCCCTGTATCCCATCGGAGTGACCGGTGAGCTGCTGTGCTTCTGGTGGGCCCAGAGTTATGCCCGCGAGAACAGTGTGTGGAGCGTGGTGATGCCCAACAAGTGGAATGCCACCTTCTCGTACTTTGGATTCCTGTGGATCGTGATGTTGGGCTACATCCCCATCTTCCCGCAGCTCTACCTGCACATGTTCGCCCAGCGTCGCAAGATTTTGGGGGGAGCACCCAGTGGAGCACCCAAAAAGAAGGCCAACTGAACCCTGACCAGCGACGAATGCAAATTATTGCATCATTTGCATATCTTTGGCCCGCGCACTTTGGAGCCGCGTTCACTGAATTGGGGTCTCTCTTGCCTCACCTCTTACACAAGCACATTCGCTCGGACTAAGCTTAGGTATAAGTGGTTTTGTGTGTACAAATATATATAAACCTTAGATACTCTTCCAACTAATTTATATTTGCTTCGGGGCTCGATCTCAGATCTCCCGAGTCTTGGGGGTAACAGTAACTGACTAACTGGCTAACGTCTACGATTATTAGTGCTGCGACCATTGGATGGTCTTCAGGTCGATGCCCTCCTGGACCATCTCCCACAGTGGCGACATTTCGCGCAGCCTTTCCACATGCTTTATGCACTTGTCCGCGGTATAATCCACCTCCTCGACGGTGGTGAAGCGGCCAATACCGAATCGTATGGAGCTATGCGCCAGATCCTCATCAGTGCCAATGGCACGCAGCACATAGGAGGGCTCCAGGGAGGCAGACGTGCACGCGGAACCGCTGCTTAGGGCCACATCCTTGAGGGCCATCAGCAGGGACTCACCCTCGACGTAGGCAAAGGACAAGTTTAGGCATCCGTTGTAGGTGGCATGGGGATCACCGTTGCGAATCACATGCGGCAAGGCACTCGAAATTCTGTCCAGCAGGCGATTGGATAGAAAGTCTACCCACTTCTTGTCGTAGTCCATCTCTTGGAGGGCCAGTTCTGCAGCTGCTCCTAGTCCCACGGCCAAGGGAGCCGGAACGGTACCGCTACGCAATCCGCGCTCCTGTCCGCCACCACTTTGAATGGGCTCCAAGCGTACCCTTGGTCGGCGACGCACATAGAGGGCACCCACACCCTTAGGACCATAGAGCTTGTGGCCAGATATCGACATCAAGTCAATGTTCATAGCGTTCACGTCTAGCGGAATCTTGCCCACTGCCTGGGCGGCGTCCGTGTGGAAAAATACGCGACGGGAGCGGCAGAGCTTTCCAATCTCGTCGATGGGCTGCTTGACGCCAATCTCGTTGTTCACCGTCATAATGGACACCAGCGATGTCTCCGGCGTAATCGTCTCCTCCAGCTGCTTGAGGTCAATGATTCCATTGGCCAGTACCGGTAAGTAGGTGACTTTAAAGCCCTCGTTCTCCAACGCACGACATGAGTCCAGGACGCACTTGTGCTCCGTCTGAGTGGTGATCACGTGCCGCTTCTTGGTACCATAAAATCGCGCCACTCCCTTCACGGATATGTTGTTGGACTCTGTGGCGCCGGATGTGAAGATAATCTCCTTGGGATCGGCCCCAATTAACTGGGCCACTTGCTCGCGTGCCTTCTCCACCGCCTGCTCCGTCTCCCAGCCGTAGGCATGGGTGCGAGAGTGTGGATTACCGTAGTAGTTCGTCAGATAAGGCAGCATGGCGTCCAGCACACGCGGGTCCATTGGTGTGGTAGCCTGGGCGTCCAGGTACAGGGGTCGGCCCTGCGTCTGTTCGTTCTTGATGTTAAAGCGAACCTGTCGCTCCCGGAATTCTACGGATATTCGAGATTTATTTATTGATTATCTCATATCGAAGGGACAGGAGCCTTGCGATTACCTTTGGATGTGGCCGCCGGTTTCGACTTGGCGGATGTGGCCTCATGCCTGACCCTGGTGGCCAGGGCATTGGTGGCCCGGGAGCGCAGGATTTGCGCTTGGATTCGACCTAGCACTTGCTGCATTATTACGGAATCCTATATTTCGTGTATTTTTCGTTATTATCAAAGCGGATTTCACAATTAATGTGGCTAAAGTTCTATAAAATACCTCTTGGCAATCAGTGTGACCGATTAGAAATTGTAAACAATTCCACAAAGGGCTTTGAATAATAAGCCGCGGAAAATTCAAAGTTTTGATTGCATGAAATTACGTTATATATTTAATAAAAATAATAATAATACAAAACAAGATAACAACAAAATAAGATCATTAACTTTAGATATCCGAAGTTGGATTCGAATTTTAGGATCGAATCCGAAATCAATAAGCTAGCTTCAATATTTATTTATATTATTTTGACCATTTCTTCGACAAATCAAGATTTAAAAAATGCATAACTAAGCTAAACGAGCATTAATTTAAATTCCGAAAACTGATATATGTTAGTTTTTCAAATGTTAATAAAACTGCATATTCAATCTAAAATTTTAAAACTATTAAAAATTTTTGGCTAATTTTTGGAATTTTCAAAATTTTGAAAAAATTAAATTTTGTCCAGACATAGGTATATCGATTCGGCTGTTGATGCTGATCAAGAATATATATGATTTATATAGTCGGAAATATCTTCTTCATGGAGTTTCAAGCTTTTGACTGAGAATAAAATACCCTGCAATGGTATACAAATTGATAAAACATCGTTAAAAAGTCAAATTGTAAACAAATTATGATAATTAATAATAGATAATGATAGACATCCCCAAAGTAAATAAATAAATTCAACTCTGTGCATTTCTTGGACCAATTTAATACTTTAAAGTTCGGTTTTACAACTCTTGTGTAATTTGATCTCGCATATGTACATAAAAGCATAAAATATATATTGCAAAAATACATTTATGTATTGTATATGTGTGGTATGTGTGTGTGAGTTATATAATTCTCTCTATAAAGGTCGTAAATCTTGCATATTGCTGTTAATTAGAATAATTGTTTACATCTGAACACTTAAAAACCACCGTCCTATCTCATTTACGACTTTAATCCTAAATTCTAGTTTGGTTAACACGTGAGTTGGGGTTTCTGTGCACATTAATGTGTGTAAATCTGTTCAAAACTGCGGCATTGTTCGGTAAAAACGACATTGTTTAAAATATAAATATCGATAATTTAACAGGTAAAAAGAATTAATTTCATTAGAGTAAATGGTGGTTAAAATATAAGCCAACAAATCCGTAAAATAATGTATACACAAGTCATCATCATCTGCATTCGTTTCTGTTCTCATTTGCGATCATAAAATCCGCCGTCTGCTATGTCAAAGCGACTGCTCCGTGACCAGCACAACGCTCTGCTCCTGCGCAATGGCTGCCAGTTCCTTTAGCCATTCGTCCAGCAATACAGCGCACAGGGCCAAGTCCCGCGATCGCTCTGTGCCACTCGTGCTGGCAATTATACCCATGGAGGCCACCGAATCGAGGGAGACTGGCTCGGAATTGAAGCCACCGCCCGTCGATGGACCACCATCCATGCCGTGCAACGTGCTCGACGAAAGGGTCGTAATGTTGGAGTGGGCGGAGAGCGTCTGTGTAGATCCACCGATGCTACTGTTACTACTGCTCCCAGAGGCCGCCGACGGTGTCATCGTCGTCGTTGTGGATCCTGTGCGTGAGGCTGGTACCGATTGCGGTTGTGTACTTAAGCTGGTCTCGCATGTCCCGGAGGATGGTTGGGCAGGCCTTCCGTCTGCACTAGAGCTATTGCCAACCAGGTTCGATGCAGCTCCTAGAAATGTCGAGTGGGATTAGCACATATTTTGGCAATTTATAGATCCTTTCGGGGTTAATTGTAACAGCAACAATAACAGTAACATATAAATGGATAACACAAATGTTTTACAACTAGTTTTTAATTTAGTGGGTTTAGTGGAATACGAATAGCATTATGTACAAAGCTCTACGGGATCAAGGAGACTGCAAACTATGTATTTTTTTTAGCTAAGACTATGCCAGTTTTTGGTTAGATTTTTTGCTTAATACTTTATAAATACTTTTATCAAGCGTGAAATATTTACCGGTGAAGAATGCGTAAATTTGTGATAAGCCAGATGAAGCTAAGATTTGTTTTTTTGTTTAGATTTCATTAAAAAAATAAATAAAAAGAAAATAATTAATTAGAAACAACGACGCCAGCAGCGGGCATTTTACAGATACATATTTGTGTGTTTGTGATAGCCAGATATTGAACCCTGAATGAGTTTAAGATATTTTTTAAGGATATGGATATTTTAACGTTATATCCATTATTTTTCGATATTTAAGAATTCTATATCATAAAGATTACAATGAAAGTGAAAACAATAAAATATTATGCTCAGCGGAAGGCTGTTATTATCCCTAATTAATACGAATGAATTAATGCTTATTTATAATTTAATTTTAATGACAATTTATATCCTCACAGGCACTCATGCAGGGCTCATATGTGTATGTTTTCTGTGTGTATTTTTGTGAGTGACATTGTGAAATTATTTCGACCCAAAACCAACTTTCTTTCCAACATCCAACGCTGCAGATTTCTAAACGGTTGGTATTTTCTAAATTGTTTGCTTGGTTCTTCTTATTTTTTGTTTGTAGAAAGATAAAAATGTGCAAGAGTGTGCGATAGGGAAGATTTTGCAGGGTGCAACTTACCGGGCGAAGAGCCATTGGGTGGTGGCGCTGCTGCTGCGGGTGAGGCACTCGATTTCCTGCTGAACATGCTGGTAATGGACTTGCTAATGCTCCGACGTTTGTTGTCAGCTCGTTTGAACGGATCGTAGGCACTTGTGGGCGTCGCCTGTACGGGCGTGGCAGCTGACAGAGTTGCGTACGCTGATCGCAGTAGTCCCTGTGACTGCCCGGGATTCGTAGCAGACTGTAGTTGCTGTTGATTGTGTTGATGCATTGGTGAACCCTCGTTACCCTTGCGGGCGTTCGCCAAACGAAATTCGCGATCAATGAGCGACGAACGCGCCACATCTATGATCTCCAGCGAATCCTCCGTCACAGGTAGCTCAGCGTCGATTTGTTGCTTCAGAATGCGTAGCACTTGGTGGAAAGAGGGTGTATCCGAGGTGATTGCAATGTCGGAGCGAAGCAGCAGCGAGTGGATCAGCGGCAGGGGATACCAGGCCAGACGTGTGATTAGTCCGGTTAAGTGCAGATTGACATACAGCGAGTTGCTCGTAAAGGTTTGCAGTTTGCCCCAGATGGCATTGAGAAAGGGACCTTAAAAGCCAGATATTAACATTTTGATTTTCTTCAATATATTATGGAGATTCTACTCACCTAAGCTCACGGTGCCCTGCGCAAACAAATCCTCCGAGAAGTCCAGATCCGTCAACAGCAACTCGTTGCGATTGTTGTGCGATATGCGCCAGGCTTCGCGTCTGCCATTGGACCCGCCAAGCACGCTACTCAGGCTGCTAATGTTGTGCTCCAGATCTGCATCGCTGGCTGTGGTGGCCAATGTGGTGTCCGTGGCCTCGCTTTCTTCGTCTGCCGGTCGCCACTTGAAGGATTCGTAGCCGCTGGACTCACCGATCGACTGCAGGCTATCCAGCTGCTTCTCCCCCGAATCACTGGCAATAGCAATGGGTCCTCCGCCTCCAAATTCGCTGAAAAACTGCTTGGCCAAATCCAAGGCATGGGCATGAACACGACCCTGTCCCGGGCGCGGCCACTTTTGGTAGCGATAGCTATTGGCCCACTTCAGGCAATCCCTCTGGCACTGGGCAATCCTCCAGTGGGCCTCGAACAGATACGCTTGGATGTTCGCATACAGGCTATCGCCCGTGTGCACCCCATAATAGTTCCAGTTGGCACCGATTGTCTTGCTCATCACCGGCGAGGGTAGACTGGGCAGTGGTGTCTGTTCTCCGGCAGCTGGAGGCTCGTGGATACTCTTGGGCCTGGCCAGGTCCCGGGCCCGCTTCATCACGTCTGGCGTGAGGTCCAGGAAGAATTCACTGCTACTTAGATACGGATCGATCTTGTTAATCTTGTGCCTATGGGAGATGGGCACATGTTTGCCCGGCAGCATGAACTTGAGCAGAAGCTCCAGCATCAGGTCCTCGCAGTGCAGTCCCAGCAATGTATCAAACAAAGCCATCGTCACCATGCATAGATTGGGATCAGGCGAGTTCAAGCGCTCGACCAGAGCGTCCAATATCCTCTCTCCATCGAACTTCTCCGTGTCGAGCAGGAACCGAACGAAGGCCCTCAGCAGTCCGGGTTCGGTGATGGAGCGCAGGATCAAATCCAGATACGACATGGCCGAGATTTGCGAATCGACGTTCGTCTGAAAATGTTTGCCCTTCAGTGTCTGCGAAAATGGAGCGCAAAAAGTTGTTTCGAGATTTCGAGGTGTGTGTGTTTGGTTAGCTACGGGGCAGGAAGATACTTAAGAAACACACAAAAGAAACAGAAAGCTCAAGGCGGTGCAGATCCCTAAGGAGAGACGGCAATTCCTCCAAATAAAACAAATAATTGCATATGTCTTGGGATATGATACTTGGATTAATAGTTTTGACGTAAAATCAATTATTTCAAATCGGAAAGCTGTCCTATGTTAGTTTTTATTAGGTTAATAAATCAATTTCTCAATTTTAAATTTTAAAAAATTAAACATTTTGCCAACTTTTTTTTTATAAAAATTTCAAAATATATAATTTTCAAATTTTTGAAAAAATTACATTTTAACCGGACATAGCTAAATCAATTCAGCTTTTGATGCTGATCAACGATTTATATGATTTATATGGTCGGAAATGACTCCTTCACATCATTAGAAGCTTCTGACTAAAATTATAATACCCTACAACCTTTCAGTATAGAAGCCTAATCTTTAACTAAACCAATATTTATCGCAATTCCTCATTTAATCCCAAGACATAAGCATATATAAAATAATAAAAAAATAAATAAAGAATAGACAAAGGAACAGGAGCAATCATGAGTCGCTTGCAACCAACACCACAGAAATGCATCGAAGACAAATTTTCACGTGAAGAGACCGAGACGGAGACGAGACAAAAGCGTATCGATAGACTAACCTGTAGGATCGCCGGTCCCAGCACGGGCACAATGAATCCCTGATACATAAAGTCCAGCAGCTGTTGTTTGATCATCTCGTGGGCCACCTGCACCACCGCATTGCAGAACTCCAAGGCGTTCATGAAGAGCGTCAGCTCTGGTATCTCCGTCACATCATCCGGCGTTATCCGATGCCAGTCGATGGAGCTGATCTCGATGCTGTTGGGCAGGCGCGAGTAAAGGCCACCCAGGCCGGTCACAAGCAGAGGGCAAATCGAAGAGTACTGGGCTATGTACGTTCCAATGTTGGAGTTCTTCTGTGATAGGGCCATGCACAGGAGCAGGGCATCGCGGGCCTGATGACCCAGACTGCCTTCCCGATGCACATAGGGAATGAGCAGCGAGAAGATGATAAAACTGCAGGGATTAAACCAATAATTAATTGAAAATGCGTCATCTTGATCTCGAGATACTCACTTGGTTGTGGTTCCACTCTTGGGTTGCGGCACGTTGCCGTTCTGTATCTGCTCCTGGACTTGCGTCTGGGCGGAGAAGAAGAACAGGTCCAACAGGTGAACGTTCTGCATGAGGACCACGCACAGCTGGTTCAGCAGTATGACCAGTCGCTTCTCCAGGTCAGGAGGAAAGATTTCACCCTGGCTGGAGGCCAGTATCTTTAGTAAGGGCCGCAGAAAGGGCTCGTGGCAGAGCAACTGGTGGCGCGAATGGCTGACAAGCAGCTCGTACAGCTTCAACTGTTCCAATCGCACAGCGTTGGCATAGCGGCCCGTGGTGCAGGCCCATTCGTACAGTTTGTCCAGCAGATTCTCGCTCAGCAGGTACTCCAGGCAGGGCGCAGCAGGCGGACCGCTGGTCTCCATCGCCGGCAGGGAGACTTTGTTGCAGTGATGCAGCTCTACCAGTAGCAGCGTGACCATGTAATCCAAGTGCGAAACCACACCCAGCACATCGTCGTGCGAGGGCGGAGAGCTGTGCTGGATGATCTCGTGGGCTTGTTGCCAGTGCTTGCAGAAGCTATCGTAGCAGGCGCGCGGATCACAATCGGTGGCGGCATCAATGGGCCGCTGACGTAGGCTGCCGGAATGCCCGGACCCAGCGGAGGCGACGCCCCCGGTGGTGCTCTGACGCAGCCAACTCATGGTTCTAGTTCCTCTAGCTATGTGTGTGCGGTTTGGAGCCAAGAAACCACTGATAACTGCTGCTGCTCCGTGTGTGCGTTCAGTTTGGCATATGTATTAATGTATAGGTTTGTATGTGTATGTTGGTTATCGCAGCTTTGTGCTTTCGTCCGAATTTGGCCAGAGCGAGTGAGTATATTCCAGTGTTGTTGTTTCGTTAATATTTAGAGGCTAAAAAAAGAAAAGTTACAAACATATCCGTATCACTAAAAGAAAAATGAAAAACGCAAGAACAACAAGTGCACGCCGTGACACACTTACACGCACACACACATATATGTACATGTATAAGTATGTAATTTAGGCAGTTTTCGTAGTTGCGCTGCTGCTCACTCACCTTGCAAGCTCATAAAAATTTGTTGTTGCTCATCGTCACCATCGTCTCTGTTCTTCATGCTTTTTGATCATCGTTCGTTGCCGCATCTTTTGCTCCTCATTTTGCAGTTTTTTCGGAAGTTTTTCCGTGCTATTTGGCGTAAATATTTACAATTATTTCTGCACGGAATAGAAAGTAATAGATAGAGATGTGAAAAGTATATAAAAACACAAAGTATATCGATGTTTTTGCAAAACACATAGCACATATCGATATCTATACATTTTTCGAATGCATAAATATCGATAAGAGAAACTTCTGTAACTGATTTCGATAACATTTCCTGTACAATTCACCAGCACTCTTCTGTTAACGCTCTCGTTCTTTAAATTCACCAACACTTTTCTGTAAACGCTCTCATTTTTTTAATTTACCAACACTCTTATGTTAATGCTCCCATTTTTTACATTTACCAACACTTTTCCTTCATGGATGTCATTCTTTTAACATTTACCATTACTTTTATGTTAACATATTTCGTGATTTATAATAGCGTATATCGATAAGTTTTTGGTACACGACATATCGTGAGCAATGCATCTTAACATTTATCTATCGATATTAGGGCATCATTGAAATCGATTAGAGAAACTTCTACAGCAACGTTCTATAATTTTACCCGCAAAATTTAAATGACTTGGCAATATGTATTATATGTTGTTATTTATTTTTCTTTTTAGACAATACACTTTCAGGAGCATAAATTTTACAATGTCAATTACACAGGCAATATATATTATAAAAATAACAAATAGAACGCCATGGCGCCCAGCAGGTAAATATATATAGATAGGTAAATTTTTGTAGAGCTCAAGAAACTTGAATTTGCTTCCGATTAGTTAGTCACTTGAACGATGAAGACTTCTTACTTTGATAATACCATTAACCAAGTTAGTGTTGCACGTATGGAAATTCTTTGTATGATTTGGCTAACAAATAACGTATCTAAATCAATTGTCGCTAAAATATGCATAGTTTTGTGTCGGTGCGTGTGGTGGTCGATCCGACAGAGCGCTCTAGTGTCAACTGTTCTCAGAGACTCACATCGGTAGGAGCGACTGGCTCTGGTGCGGGGATGGTCGTTCGATGGTCATCGAGGCTTGCGGCACTTGGCTGTCTGTGCTGATGCCAAGGCTGGCGTAGATCTCTTTCATCACGAACAGGATGGTGTCCTCAGATCCCCTGTTGGTATGATTTATCAATTAATAAATATATCTTCAAACCTTAACAAAATATAGACAAGAGACCCCGAGCACTCACCAGTAGCAGACATGGCTGCTTAGGGCGAAAATGTATTCGTTGATGAACTCCAGAGGGGCTTCCTGCAGAACATAGTCCACTCGCTTCGAGTCGTTCAGCTTACCCAGCGGAAAGTCGAGCTCTATAAACTCTGGATCGGAGGCTGTGGTGGAGTTGGAATCGGTGCGATTGCGCAGTTTACAGGATGAGCTGGCAACCGAGCTCTCTTCCTGATCTTCCTGTTGTTTCTGCAAAGCCTGCGAAGTCTAAAAAACACAATTCCAACTTGGATTATCTAGTGCTCAGGTTAATCCGGAACGGAAAAACTCACCTGACTTGTCTCCTTTTCCAGCGATTCCTCGGCTTCCTTTTTCACCTTGGTCACAGTGGCCAAAAAGTTGACACTATCCAGCGTGGTCTTGAATGTGTCCATAAACCTCTGCTTGATGTCCGCACCCACCCGCGTCATCGTCTCCCTTAGCTCCAAGTGCATCCGCTTGCGTCCCTTGTGATGTGGTATCAATACCGGCCGTATGCCATTCATATCCGGGTTGACCAGAGCCTCAATACGGTATGCCACCGGATCGAAGGGATGGAATATGTTGTAGAAGCCGGGACACGTGGGCAAGTGGAAGTCCAGGCCCAGTTTATCGATACCGCGGATGGTCACAAACATACCGATGGGTGAACCTAGGGCGAAGAACTTCTTCGGATGGAATATGAGCTGCGTATAATTGATGACGGGCTGACCCGTTCCCGATGGACCACCCATCGCGTAGCTGACTTGCTTGGGTTGCTGTAGGTCGCTGCTAGGCAGCAGAACCTTTTGAAGGAGCTTCTGGGGCAGCTGATCGTCAGGATTCTCCTGGAAGGGAAATTGAACGCTTTAGAAGGTATATTACAATTTAATTTAATTTCAGTTACAGACCTTATTCTCCTCTTCGCTCTCCTTGAGTGGTTCCTGATGGCATAGCAGATCGAATAGGATCAGGGAGCCAAGACTGTGTCCCGCCAGAGAGACGCCGCCATTGAACTCCGGATGCCGCATTCTGTACTTCAGATAGACATCATTGAGGGCATCGGCCACCGTGTTCATGATCTTCTGACAGTACTTGGGACTCGTGTAGAAGAGCACGTCCAACAGTGTGTCATTGGTGAAGTTGCGCAGGCGCGGAATTGACTCCAAGGTGATGGACTTGAGTTTCTCATCGATGCCGAGCTCCTCGGAATGCAGATGACCGTGCCAAGAAATGGGCAGAACTTCGACACGACCCACCAGACCCATGTCTGTGGAGTTTTTGTAATGTGACGAAACCAGTTGCTGAGCAATTACACGGAAATCGTCCACTGCAGGGGAATAAAGTTGTAAAATATCCATTTATTACATCCATATCGTGTCCTAGCTACGTACCAACTTCCTCCACTGATCGCATTTTTAAATCGCAAGCAGATCCAATGCCATGAACCATGAACAGCAAGTGATCCACACGCTGTGATTCACCCTGTTCGATGGTGAAGTCATCCAAATCCCTCTTGACCACCCGTGGTCGCATGGAGCCTTGCGTACTGCCACCCCAGGCACTCTCTGCATTCTGTTGGGGCAGGAAGTGCACTATGACGGTGGGTCCGTGGAAGACCACCTGCTCACCCCCTCCAGGAGGATCTTCTGATGCCACTCGCCCGTCTCCGCTGACCGCTTATATTCTGATTCTAGAACTGCGGCTGTATCCTCAGTGTAGGGCACATATTTAGAGTCCACTCCCTTGTAGAACCACGAGCAGCGACGCACCTCGATGGCTTTGCCCTCCCAGTAAACGGGAGTCTTGGTGCGCTCCTTGATATTCACATCGTACCGGCCACCCTCGACGGGTACTATTAATCCGGAGTCGTCTGAAAGAGGATTGGGTTATTAGTTATTTGATTCAGTAACTTTAAACTGGTAATCTTACCCTGGTTAAGGCTAGTTTCCAGCAGAGCCGAGTCATAGTGACTAAAGGGAGTCCAGATGGATTTGGTGTCCACGCTCCGCTTGTAGAACCAATGGGCAACCACTGGTGAGTAAGTCTGGCAAGTAATGCATTAAATAATTATTTAATTCATTGAAAGTATTAATATGTTGGGTTCTTACTATAATCACCGGTGGAGTGGCCGGCTGTCCCTTGTCGGTGCTGTTGCTGTTTGCATTTGCCATTCTGATTTCTCTGAGAATCTCCTCGGGTAACTCTCCCAGGTGCTGTTGAATCAGATCCTCCCCTGATTGCTGGCGATCAGGGGATGTGTTGGAAGTTGGTGCAAGTGTCGAGAACTCGGAGCAGGCAGATGATGGCGGCTCCACAAGATTAGAGACGGGTGTCTGGGATCGTTCTGGCTTCTGCTTTACAGCCAATCCGCTGTGGACGATGTCGTACTTAAGTTCACCAGGTGCGGCCGGCTGATCCTGCAGCGGTGGATTGTTGAAGAAGTTCTGGATAAGTTGATCCTCGTTGGCCTGCTGGCTGCTCTGCAACTGTGGCTGTGGCACCTGATCGAAGAAGTTGACCGGATCGCAGTGAGCTGCAGAAAGTGCAGGAACTGCAGCGGGCTCCGGGGCACCGGCACCACCAAAAAAGCCGGCGAAAGAGTTGCTACTTGAATTTGGATATAAATTTTCGTTTGAACTTGGAAGTGGTGTTTGTTGTGTCGCTTGCTGGGATGGGTTTAGTAGCTGATCGAATCCGAGCGGAGCCGGAGCTCTAGCTTCGTGATCAACAGGTGGCTCTTGTGCCAAGGCTGGCGGTGCAATAACTCCCTGTTGAACGGGCAACTCCGGAAAGATGCTGCTGGGAGCAGGACTCGCAAAGAAGTTAAAGTCTGTGGACTGCTGTGTACCTGCTGCCGGGGCAAAGAAGTTCTGCAGCGGCGAGGGAGCCGGTGGTGGCTGGGCAAGAGGTTCGACCTCACCTGGCGGTGCCACAAATCCTATTGGTGGTGGCACAAAATCCTGTCCACTCTCCTGTACCTGCGGTGTGGTTACAGTTTGTGCAAATGGACTGAAAACGGTTTGAGTCTCAGAACTGCTTCGGTATAGGTTCGGTGTAGCAGCGGCTTCTGGAGATCCTAAGAAGGCCGCAGGAGCATCCACTGCCTCAGTTGACGGAGCACTCGAAGCTGGTTCAGCTGGTGTGAATATAGCTACTGGAGGAGCAGTGGAATCCCCTTGAGCTGAAGTCAAGAAAGGAGCAGCTAAAGTTGCAGGATCTGGGATGAACGTTGGGAAAGTTGAAACTGCTGGAGGCGGACCAAAGAGAGCACTGGATGTAGTGGATCCAGTGGCTGTTGGTGCTGGAGGTGGTGCAAAGAGAGCACTGGATGTAGTGGATCCAGTGGCTGGTGGTGGATACAAAGGCACAGCTTGGCTTTGATCCGCTGCGGCTGGCACAGGCACGAATAAAGGTGTCTCTTCTCCGACTTCCAGTGGCGCCGATGGAGCCTGATCTTGTTCTACCACAGGTTCAATTACTCCAGGAGCAAACAATGGAACCTGCTCAGCTGCAAACAGGGAGTTTTTGGTCTCTGTTGGAGGAGCAACAAACAAGGGAACACTTTGTAATGGCTCCTGGGTGACTGCGTTTCTGTGTTTGTTCCAAAGAAGGATCCTCCTTCTCCTAGATTCTCCGACTGCTTGGGTTCCTCTTCTACAGATGCTTTCTCCGATGTTGCTGGTGGTGCGAAGAAGGGAATTCCTTGGCTTGATCCCTGAGGAGGGCCACTGGCAAACGGAACAGTTCCAACTTCTTGGGGATTAAAGAATGGAATACCCGTTGATGCTGGCGTAAAGAATGGAATTCCTGGATTAGTTACGGGTTCCTGGATCTGTGATTCCTTTTGGATCAATGCAGTTGGTACTTCTTCTTTAGTTTCTGAAGGAATAAAGAATGGAATGGCCGCCGATGTTGGTGGTGCAGCAAAAAGTGGGACACTTGCAACTCCAGCTGCCTGAGAAGGATTAGCAATGGATGCTGCTGCTGTAGGTGGTGCTAGTGTAGGAGGAGCTGTTGTTGGAGGTGGAGCAGCTGCTGCAGGTGAACCTGCTGTTGGAGGTGGAGTTCCTGCTATTGGTGGTGCAGCAGCTACTGTAGGTGGAACTGCTGTTGGAGGTGGAGCAGCACTTGTCAAGAAAGTTGAAGCTGGAGCCGGCTGTGGTGCAATCTGCTCCACACTTGGTACAAATAGTGGAACCTCCTGCTGTCCCAATGGATTAAATACGGCCGGAGCAGTAGTACTTGCCGCAAAGGGGTTAAAGATGGCAGCCGGAGCAGCTGTGGGCGCCAAGGGAGCGGCGTAACCAGATGAAGCAGCGGTTTCCTGGGCCGTCAACGGGCTCTTGTACAGACGCGTTCCCTTTTGAAGGCGATATGAAGCCTGGCCAGCGGCTGGTGGAGGTACAGCTGCCACGGGTGGTGCAGCTGGTAAAGGATTCGGATTGGATGGCAAGAATCCAGTGGCTGGCGGAGGTGTAGCTGTCGGTGGAGCAGCTCCAGGTGTGAAGAATCCTCCTCCTTCTGTTGACGATGTGGGTGGAAGATTTGGTGCTGTTGTGGCGGCTACCGGTAGAGTGGGAACAGCTTGTGATGTGACTGGCACTATTCCTGGGTTAAAGAAGTTCGCTGCAGATGCTGGTGGTGCCGCTGGGTTAAGCAAGGGCACAGGTGCTGCAGGTTGCTCTCCTGGGGGATTAAAGAAGCCTCCAACCGTTGGGGTAGGAGCTACCGGGTTGAATATGGCTTGTGGAGCTGATGATGCTGCTACTGTTGAGGCAAAGAAACCTCCTGCAGGTGTCGGAGTCGATGTTGGTGCTGCTGCCTCGGTTGGAGCCTGAGGTGGAGCGGCTCCAGGCACGAAATAGTTACCGCCTTGAGGTGCTGCCGGAGGTGGACCCCCAAAGAAGTTTGTCGATGGAGCGGCTGGCTCTGGACCCGTTGAAATGTCAAAGTAACCTCCTGTTGAAGGCGGAGGATTGCTGGGATAGCTACTAACTGGTTCGCTGCTTCGTCCAGTGGCAGATTGCACAAGCCCGGAGATGTTTTGGAGCACGCCCGATGGCACGAGACTAGTCAGTGAGAAGAGCCCTCCGCCGGATTTCCTTTCCTCTACGGGTTGCGGAGCGGGCGGAGCAGGCTGAGCTGATATGTCAAAAGGTGCAGCAAAGCTGGAAGCTGCTGCCGGCGTTGGCTGTAGTGGATACGGCGGTGTCTGGAAGGGTAGAGTTGGCGCCGCTTGAATAGTCTGCTGTTGCGGCTGCTGATGTCCAGGTTGACCGGTTGGATCTGAGAATCCCGGAATGGGAGCGTAGAGCTTCTTCTTGGCTGTGAATCGATAGGTATTGGCGTTTCCTGCTGTTGGAGGTGGTGCAGTAACTCCTCCTGCGTTTGGTGCCGGGATCTCAGTGGGAGCGTAGAGTTTGGGCGGCTCGGGGGCAGCGATAACTTCATTCGCCGCTGGCGGTGGAGCGGCATAAAAGGGAGCAGGCACCGGAGCTACTGGAGCGTAGTTAGCCTGCTGAATGTACGTTGGCTGGATATCCAGTCGTGGCTCCTCCGATTGCTCCCTGCTGCCGGCGGCGTAGATGCGCTTCGAGAAGGAGGAGAATACGTTCGATGCCACCGAGGGCAAGGCGGTGAAGGAGGAAGCCGCCTGGCTGAGCAGCGAATCGTTACCAGCTCCCGGTGGTGGTTCCAGCAGAGGATTGGCGTTGGGATCACTCGCTCCGTGATAGGGGCTCGATCCTGCCGCTCCAGCCGAGTCCTCGCTGCTGGTGTTCAAGTTAATCTCGTCAAGAGCTTCGCTGTCGTCAATGCTCGAAGGCTGACCCACAGTAACCAATGTTTTGGGTTCTAAAAATGAAAGGAAAATTTAAAAATAAATGAGTGGTTCTATTTTTTTAATTCATTGGGCAGTCCTAATAATTGTCCGGATACGGAATATATTTAAACAGACTCGGAAGTGCCTGCCTGAATGGGTGTGGTCCACTCCTCACTCTGATTCTCGATCTTCGCTTAATCGAAGCACAAATTAAAAAAACAACAAAAGTTATTGGATGGATAATGAATGCAAATTGAAATCGACCAGCGGACAAACACAATTAGCAACGGAACCGCTTGGAACAGGTTTACGGATTTGGATCTGGAAGTGGAGGCGGAATTGGAGGAATAAGTATTGGAGGTGGAGACGGACTTGGACTAGGCCAGACAAGATGCTGATCAGTACCTTTAGTCTTGGACTCTCACTATTTATATGTCAGTTTTTATTATCGAGTATTATTATTAATTGCAATAAGAAATTTATAATTTAAATCTTGTAATAATAATATTGTAATATTGTAATGACAGTAAATAGCTTTCTCTCTCTCTCTCTCTCTTTCTCTATCTCTATATCTCTCTCTATCTCTACCTCTCTCTATCTCTGTATCTCTGCCTCTCTGCCTCTCTCTCTTCTCTCTCCTTCTCCTTCTCTCTAGCTCCCTATCTCTGATTGTCCCTTGAGGTACCCCAATCGCTCTATCTCTCCTGTGGATACCTCTAGGGGTATGCCTTTCTCTCGCGCTCTCACTTTCTCTGTTCTCTTTGCTCGGGGACTATAAATACAGGCGCTGCTGCCGTGCTGGCCTCATTCTGTCCGTGGCCTACCCAGTGTTTACATCGAAAGTGATATTGATAGTGATAGCGATTACCCTTCGACCCCAAGAATATCACCACCTAATCAATGCAATACATCCGGATAACCAGGAAGAAGCTGATACCTAATTGAAGTCACCAAGAACATGACTCTAAATTGGAAGGAATAAAGCATGACGAGAAGGGATAACCATGTGTCCTCCACTGCAGTAAGTCTTAACCATGATAATAATATCATTTATATAGATGCTATAGCAGGGATAAGGCCTAGATCTAGAATCAATTGTTCAAGCTTTGCATTTATTTTCCAATTCATTTCCTTATTGCCATGGAGCTAATTTAATATTTATTTAATATAATAATAGTGATACTCTAAATGTAAACTTAAAGTTAATAGCCTAACTTAATTATAAATTATTCACAAATATTGATTTCTTAGTCTGAGTTTCAAAACTAACCATGACTTTGGCTTCAACTATTGCTACATTATTATACCATTATAATTATTATTATATTGGTAAAATTTCACTCCGAAGCTTAATACGCAATGAAGGAGTCATTTCCGACCCTATAAATCATATATATTCTTGATCAGCATCAACTGGCGAGTCGATCTAGCCATGTCTGACATAAAAATAAAATTTTCGAAATTTTGTTAAAATTTTGCAGGGATTTCATTAAAATTTACCAAAAAAATTGGCAAAAAATTAATGTTATTAAATTTTGAAACTCAGTATGTAGATTTGTAAACCCTTTTAAAACTAGCACAGAAAGCTTCCCAAATTGAAATTAATGTATTTTTGGATTAGTTATGATATTTAAATAACCTTTATTTACCCAAAAATAAGCTTATAAAATATTGATTTAGATTCCTTTCTTGTTCTAATATAACTTTTTAAAAAATACTAGTACTATTTCGTAACAATATATCTATCAAACTATAATTTAAAATCCAATAATAGTGTATTTCCTTCAACCGATTCACTCACAAAATGGATTCCACCTTCAATTCGACTTCGATATTGTTTTTATGGTTCAACAATTTGATTAACCCATAATTAAGTGCAAAAACAAACGGGTCAGCTAGCATTTTAGAGCGGGTTTTCCTCCCCTCTTGTGCCTTGCCTTGTGAATTAAATGGAGGCGAGGGCGTCATAAAAAGCCAAATCTTGGCATTAGGCTTCAGTTGAAGAGACAAATGTCATGGCATTTCGGAGGAGAAGAAGACAGTGAAGCTCTCCGGAGTTTGCCAATGAATGTGGAATGGAAAGCATGGCAAACGTGCCATTTGTCCAGCGAATACGTCAAAGAATTCACCTCGATCTTGAAACGTGATTGGATCCGAGAGTTGCAGACCTGCAGCTTTGAGTTCTTTGAGCTTGTTTTCATTTTTTTTTTGCCGGCCAAAAGGTTTTCACACCTCCAACCGCGACTATTTTAAGAACCACATTTTTCACATATTTAAGCGCAAGTTTCAAATTGTTCACCTAGACGACCAGCTGCATAACCAGATTCCAAGCAGAAATACCAATGATTTAGGAATACGAATGGGGCTTATTACTATATAAAACATAGACATGAGATATGATTTATGCAGATGGAGCAGATGCGTCCGGAATAATCACAATCATTTGCATATTAGTATTCCCTTCTTGCCAGAACAATTACCATTTAGTTATATGTGCAATCAGTTACATTAATAACCTGTATCAGTTTGCAATTAATACCTTTTATTCTTAGCCATAAATATGATAATTACAAGAATAATGTAGGTATTCAAAGGAAATGCAATGAAAGTTAAATGAATTAACATAATAAATTGCTGTATTATTCTTTAATTATAACGTATAGGCTAAAAAGTACTCATGATTGAGTCACTCTAATGGGTTTATTTAAAACTTTCCCTTTTAGGCTTATCGGTAAGTCGGACCAAAATATTATCTTAACCTTGACGTATAAAACCATTAATTAGTCATTGTTTTGGGGGAGTTTAAAAACAGTTGAAAATGAATTTAAAACTAGGAAAACAGCTGTTTCCATTAGAGTAAAAAGTGTTCTTCATTTACTTAATTTTTCTTTTGAAACTTACAAGGAAATCAAGAGATTTGAAATATTAAAACTCCCCAAATCAGCTTAAAAAAAGTTCACAAGTATAAATGCTGAAATCTGACATTGCCTAACTATTTTTTGCTTAACTTTTTTTTTAGTTTTAGCCACATTCAAGCACTTGACATTGCCGACTTGTGTGTGTGTTTGCATTTATTTTGTCACTTAGGATCGTCATTTGTAACGACTAAGCAAAGATTAGTTATGGCAACTGCTTGAGGTGAGGCATGGGGCTTAAAGCATTTTCCAGTTTTTTTTCGGCTCGATGGGGAACTTTTTGTTTTCATTATTTTTATTTACAAATGCCCGCCATTGACAATGACGCATTACGACAAATGTGTTAAAATAAATAAAAGAGAGACGATCGTCGAACCGCAAATGTGCTTAAAAGTAGAACAGCATAATTCATCCCCCATAAAACAAAAGCCCAAAGCCACATAAAAAAGGTGGAAGAATTTTCGGCTATAATTTGGGCATGACATCATAAACACTCGATCTTTAGCTGGATCGAGAGACAACGACGAGAAGTCTTCACCAAACTCCAATTCCAACTCCAACTCCAACTCCGTGTCCCAAGTGGCCTGCACATAATGGCACTCAAATAAAACAATTAAGGCCCACATAAGCACGTCAAGCACGATGAAATCATTTGCAGGATACACAAGCCGGTCACAAACAATGCCTCTATAAAGCACTGCCCCGAAAAAGATAAAAAACAGACAGAAAATTCAACAGATTGCCATCAATTTTGGAATTTAAACGCTGGCCGAAAAGGCTCGTGCAGGTCGCATGCCAAAAACCCGGTCTAAAAAGCAGACCAAACAATAATAAAAATATAAAAAATATATAAAAAACACAGAAGAAGGCAAAAATGTTTGGCATTGAACCCTCGGGCGAAACAAAAACAGAAAAAAAGAGACCAAAATTAAATCAAAATAAATCTCAATAAATGCGTGCTTTTTGGAAATTGCGCGACTCGCAAAGAAGATGATGATGATGATGATGCTGAAGAAGCTGCTTGAGACGACGGCCTGTCTGCCTGTGCCAGCGGCAACAAAATATAAATAAACTGGCCACGACCGTCTATACCCTTTCTCTAAGACCTCTCAAGTGCATAACTATTTAGACCAAAGTCTGTTTAATACAAATCTTCAGTATTTATTTATAGGTTTCTTCAAATAAAATAGATAAATCGTACCCAACAATACTGGAAGATCAATAATACAAATTAAATGCATACATTTTTTATCCACATTTATTGAAACAGAATATTTGTGAATTTATTTTCAATATTGTCAAAAAAGTTGAAAGCTCTTTGACCAAGTAGGGTAAGATTAGATAGTACATTCGTTAAGACATTCCGCTTTGTATTATCTCTATTTATTAAACCCAGTTGATCCATGAAATTAACTACAAACTGTCTTTTGTCTGAATAAGAGGTATGTCCTTCGGCTGTTTTAAGAGTCTCTTCTAAATGTGTCACCATATTGTCACAATTGTCCCGACTGGAAGCACGTTTAATGGCATTTTGCAGAGATATTTTAATATTCTGGACAACATTTTCCACAGAATCATTGTCCTCAACGGGTTCTAGGACATTGCAATCATGTTTCTGTTCCACGGGTAAGCCACTGATGAATTTCTAAATATTAAGAAGACTTGAAGAATGTGACTAGAAAATAACTTTGTCAGAGTTCTTACCAGCAGCATCAGTGAAATAATTAAGAGACAGTAACGCATATTGCGAGTGCTTTCAAGAAACTAATAGCTCATCAAGGATATCTTTACCTATTTATACCCATGGAAACTCTACACTAAGATCACCAAATATGGATTATGACAAAAACTACCTGTAACGCATGATCTTATTCTTATACAGCGACATCTATCCCTTACCCATGTCATTATACCCTGTCCAGAAGACAGGGCAATCCATTCCAGGACAGCCGAAACAAAAGACTTAGGCAACAAACTCAGGTAGCCAGTTCAGGCGAAATAATAATGGTGACGCAGGGATTCGCATATTTTCAAAGGTATTTCGTTCGGGGTAAAACCCTTCGGTGTATGCTAATTATGTCAACCACCCACTGACCTGTCCCGCCCTAAATGTGACGCATCTGCGGCAATCTCGCTTCCTCCGGGGCAATTCCAACGGCTTGGATTCCTATGACTCTATCTTATCGAGACACAAGGTGTGGCTTTACTTTTTTATCTACATCCATTTGCAACCAATTGTTCAATATTTAAACAATTTATGGGCCACAAAAAGGCACACACAACTCCGACCGCAACGCAACGCGGGTGACACAAACAGTACAAAAAGGTCAGTAATTAGTGGAGTTGTTTTAGTTGATCGACTGCCGCGGAACGACTCAAAGCCTCTCCATTAAATTTAAGACCAGTGCAAGTGAAACAAGCCATACAGGACTAAGGATAACAGTGAACTAAAGTGACAAAAATTTAAACAAATCTAAAGCCTGACACCGAGTCGCACCAGTTCTTCGTTCTTCAGGCTCGTTTGGTTGTCATCGCTAAAACAAGTTGGTAATTTTTAATTAACACCCCTTGGGACTATGCGTAAACGCGTTTGTATATTAATCATTAAATTAAACCAGCCTCGGCAAAGGCAGAAGCAAATCAAATCACTATCAGAGCAAAGTCGATGAAACGATAATCAAAAAAACCGACAATGAAACGATATTGCCAAATTTTAATTTGTTTTATTGAAAAGGTTTTCCTTTTGCCCAAAAGTTGTTAATTGAGAGTGAGAGAGATACCCCGAAACAAGCTACAGCAAAGAAAAGGCGACCAACGAAAATGATTGCATAATTATTAACAAAAGCATAAATAAAAGCCAAGCAAAAATAAATGCAAAAAAAATTGTAAGGTAAAACCTGCGTGAGCTGCATAAATTCTCATTGCAATAAATTTGTTTTCGAAAAGGGGCTAGCTCCTTGGATCGGTCTTTCGACCAGGCTTTATCCTCTAAAAATAATACTAACAATTTTTATCAAAAAGGATCTATAAAAGAATTGAGTAAATAATTATTAGGAAGATTTGTTTTAATCATTTTCAAATTCAAGACCTTTAAAGGTACATTTATTTATTAATGAAAATAAACTTCTTGAAGATCTTGTATCATTGTATATTAGGTCTTAAGTAATTGTAAGACTCTTAACTCCAGTTCTTAGACAACAAACCTTATTTCTTTTGATTTATCACAACTGGATGTGATATTATATCTTGGAAAACAAATTTTTAAAGCTTACCCGATGAGAACTTTGGACAGGTGCTCATGTCACAGGCAGTGAAACCACAAAACTAATACTTAATAGCTCAACGTAGTGCAACAATTCAAAGTCGAATACAGAGTGGTTCAATGGTTTCTTAAAAGCACCACAGTTTTTTAGGAAGTTTTCGACAGACGCACGTAGGTCAAGATGGGCACGATTTTCTGAGCGGGGGAAATACAAGTCAAGTTAACCTAAACACGCTTCACAATTTGTCATAAATGTTAAACAAAAGAAACACCAAAAACTATTGTAAAACACCTTCGAACAAGCTGAAAGTCTATGGGAATCACAAGAACATGTTAAATGTGTTTTAGAAACAAAAATAAACAGTTTTGTTAGATTTTTTTTTCTGTTACCGCAAGCAAACTACTAATTTCTAAGGAATTTTTAGAGCTTCAGGTAGGGGAAAGCAACCCTTCATTACTCAAAGAAAGAAGGGAAGAAACCTCTATACATTTCCGCATACAATACTTAAATAAACAAGCATTCGTATATATGTTACGACTATATATGTACGCGGCTATATTTATTATGATTTTATTGATGCTATCAGCGGCTGGCAATCGGAGTTGTCATATTAAATTCATTTCACGCTCCATTTTAATGCGCCGGCCAGTCGGGTAGTCGAACTTCCTACACAAGTTCACAGACGCTCGGTTTTGCATGAATTTATTTTCGACAATTCCCCAAACTGTTTAAATATTCAGCTTGCATGCCGCCAATGCGGTTATATTTTTGCCATAACTCAGACATTCCCTCGGCAAAAAGGTCAGAATGTTAAGAACTTTGCACAAATTTAATAACTTTGAACTTGAAAAAAATAGGGGAAATAAGTGTATTAACCCGATTAAAAATATATATACAATTTAAAAAACACAATAAACGTATAACAAACAACCAGTGTGCTTTAAATGTTATTCCTTTTCTTAGTATAAACTCGAGTTCAGATGGTGAGACTGATAAGAGAAATATATAGAACATATTGATAAGACTTCCTCTAACGGGTATAAAAGCCGCACAGAGACTTAAGTCTGTCGCAGTAAATAAATCATTGCGAAATGAAATTGTTACTCATAATTACTAGTCTATCTTTGCTGGCAAGTACAAATATCAAAAAGAACAAGATCTATAAATAAATAATCTTATTAACTTCTCAGATACTTGCACAAAGTAATCCTTTGGAAAGAAAAATGTAGTAATTTGTGAATTCTTTAAAAAAATTGAAGAGTTAAACAACGAACAATGGGAGGATTCGGTTAATCTCTTCAAGACGCTCTTGAGACAAACCATAAATGCTATTTCGGTCTATCCGGAATTAAAGGACTACGGATCATTCATGCAGGATTATCTTGATCGCGGAAAGTCCATTGATCAGTCAACTAGTGTTCAAAAAAAGATGGAGTATTTCCAAGGACTCCCTGAATACCAAAATACGCCAATGTTGGATATGACTACCGAGAAAGGACAAGAGTTAGACAGGCCCATGGTTAATTTTAGATCGAACGTGATGAGTGTCCTATCAAAATTCTACAATAATTATATAAAAGCAAAGCAAGAAATGCGTGAGAAATTGGATGCATTGAATTTAACATTATCAGATGATCTCTTCACACTCCTCCAAAAATATCCACCAGAGTATATGGGACCGGGGGTCGAAACTCTTGGATCTCGTATTCTTGAATTTAAGAATACATATCAGTGTGTCTAAAAAACATAACAATTAATTAATAAATACAACCTTTTTGATCATATTTACAGAGATGAAGATTTGAGAAGATCATTATCAGCTTTACAATATTAAGTAAAGGTTAAGAACCTTATTGTTATTGAAGTTTCATATGATTTTGTTAAGAAATATAATAAAAGTTCTTAAATAAACTTAATAAATTCATGATACCATGATACTTTTAAACCATGATTTGTGAATTAAAAGCTCTCTTATCTAATAAATCGACTCTGTTAATTGAATTAAGAATGTGACTATTACTAATCACATTAACTAAGATGAAGTCTTGACTCCAGCTGTGTTCAGCTGCGACGATATCAGTACATGTGTGTGGCACAGGTAACACTCGGTTGCATAACAGGTTGATACTACCACATATTATATGGGAATAGCCAGTTAACCGAAGATATTTCCATGGCGCTGGCGGCGCAGAGCAAACCCAGAGCCAGTAAACAATCGTGTCATGAACATATCCAATTGTGGCATCAGCTCAGCTGCTCTCCAGCACGTTGTTTCGCTTTATATTTACTTCTTTTTGTTGTATTTTTTATCAGTGGCACGCTCTTCTAGATTCCAGCAGCAGCTATATAGCTATATGGCCATATACCTGGCCCGATCTGCTCTGCTGCGAAAAGAGAGACCAACCGAGTAGCTCCCGAAGCGATACGAACCGATTCAATCCACAACAAGCTGTGCTCCGAAAGCAGCCGCTTGTGTGTTTTTGCTTTCAGTTTCATTTGAGACGTTGACGCGATCGCCAGCAAAGTCGGCTTAAATCAGCTTTAAACGCGGCCAATATCGCACAAACCACAACTGGCTGAAGTACATTTAAACGGGTTAATCCAATATACAAGACCGAAAAAACGTTGTATATTTTTTTGGTGTTTATTCGGTCGCCCGCTCTGCAAGTGAATTCCAAATTCAGTTTTATTTGGTGACTTTTTGCATAATAATAATCATAATCATAATATTTTGCAAGTTAATAAACAATGCAAAGAAGTGGGCAAAACTCATAAATAAAGTGCACCCGCCTAAAAGTGTAATTAAGATCCATTGAGATTTTTTGTTTCTTTTTGCGCGCACACACAGCAAGGAGAAAACAAGTTTGTTGCCTAAGTTATTTGTTTTGAAATTTCAAAAATTCCAAAAAACATTTAATAACAAGTATTAAAAAGAAGAAAAAATAAGAGATATATATATCTCTGGGGGGCCACGTCGACAAGAAGAGTTCCATAAAAGGCAAGTGAAAGAATAAATTAAACCTGCTTTAATTAAAAATAAAAATATAGAATAATAAATTAGTATTTTGTGAGTAAAGAGCGGAGAGGAAAGCCACAAACAAAATCTGTTCCCGGTATATAAATCAAGTTCATAGCAGCGGAATTTAAGAATTAAAATGTGAATTAATATTAACTCGTTCAGTCAAAGTCAAAGTTTAAAACAAAGTGGTTACAACACCGTTTTGTTCCCATTAGTTTGTAGAAATTGCTATGATAATAAGCCCATAGTAGCTGCTTATAAAATCCCTTTGAAAGGTTTCCGACCAATCAACAATACCAATTGTGTGTGTTTGTTTGAGTGGTGTGTTTTTCTGTTCAATGCCAAGAAAATAAACAATAAAAATGCGCGTGGGTTCTCCAAGGGTTCCAGTCCAATCCGCACGATATTCATACCAGATGATGATGATGATGATCGCCTCTAAATGAAGCTGCCACAATTAGAGTGCATTTCAAGTGGATTCAGTTACGAACGGGCAAAACGAGGGATGCCAAGCAAACGCAATTTGAATTTATAATTTTCGCAATTATTTTTCATTAATTTAAGAGGAGGGGGGGGGGGGGGATGGCCATAAAAAACGGCAAATAACGTCCGAGTGATATAAAAATCATAGCGAAAATAAATGCTTACGCGTCTGTTAATCACATTTGAGCTTCCCAAAGCACTCGACGACTCTGGCTAATTGCAACAGCAACAAAAATTTAAAAGCGAAAAGGAAATATGTAAATAATAATAATAAAAAAAACCGACAATACAACGTGCTCCGTCGCCTCTCTAATTTGTTTATAGAACCTGTGCGCTTTTTTATGAAGCAAAGCGAATCAGCAGCTGATTGATGAACTGCCACAGCGTGTTAGCATTTTTTTGTTGTGTTTTTATCTCCGCACTTTTCTTTAATTACAAAAAACAAAATTGCCTTTAAATAACGAAGAACCTCATTCGGGAACTCTAAGCACGCCAGAGTTATACCCTAGTTTACATAAACACATAAATCAAATTAAGGGGATTTTATTTACCAATAAATATTTAAATCTTAGGCATCAATTTCCTGGCTTCAAAACCAAATAAGATTAGCATCTTTTGTTTCGATTGTTTGTTTCTTTCACATTGAAATTGTTTTAAATATTTGATTTATGAACCAAAAATGTTTTTTATGGCTTGTCTAGGCCTTAGTCTAGATTTTTCTAACTGTCTTTTATAATCTTATCAAGCATTTACTGCGTTTAAATAGCCTTCATATCTTATCGATTTCTGTCACTTATTTAATTTTAATTGCAATTAAAAATAACCTTACTTCAAACTTTAATTGCTTTCAATTTATTTCTTCACCGAAAATACTTTCTATTCACCCAAAAAAAAAACTTTCCAAAATTTTCGGAACTGAGACAAGTCTATTGCAATCTTCTTTAGAATTACGTGACCGCCAGCTAAATAAAATCTAAGAAAACTAAAAGCTGTGAGAGATGAATTATGAATGATGGAATTGTACAATGGAAGTTAAACATTAACTTCGATACAGACCAACAGACGAACGTGTCTCTCTCATTTATTTATCAAGAGACCTCCAAGGGAGGCCCGAAAAACTTTGGCTATCAAATTGCATTCGCTTCTCACCTCAGATTGACCTTGCAACGCACAAAAATGTACAAATCAATATCGAATTGATTCAGGCAGCTGCTGCCAAACGAGAAAAAACGAAGACAGAATATTTTAACTTAATTTATTCCATTTCTACGCATCGATGCGATATACATTTTGAATATCAACCTGACTGTATACTTGTTTCTTACGTTTTTGTTGTGTTTTTATACCATTTTTTTGCGGCTTTGCATATTGTTAATTAATGGCAGCTGCTCCTCGTTTTGTTGGCGGCAAAAACGGCCCTCTCTTCACGCTGCACAATCACATCGCAATCACGAGTTAACAAAAAAAAAAAAAGCTGAGAGCCAAGAAATCAATCATTCAAATTGATTTGTTGGTAATTTGTTATTCAAACAACCCCGGCCAGTAAAATGCAACAAAAAAATATATACACAAACGAAATATATAGTAGGGGAAAATAACATATCATAAAAGCGTTTGTGCATGACGCCTTAACCAAAGTGTTAATTGCATTTTTGCCTAATTAAATATTAAAAAAAATTGAGCAAATTGAAGCTAAGAGTTAGCGTGTTCCCTGCGGCTTTAATCAAGTCTAAAATTTTTTTTTACATTTTTATTCATTAACAAATGTTGTTCACATGTGTGATTTTTTATATAAAATACCTTTTATTTTTATTGTCAACGTCGCGACAACGTCTTCGTTTTCTGTGTTTCTCTATTTTCCTCACCTGCAGCAGGTTTGAACAAAACCTTGACCATATAGTATCTCTGTCTATATATATAATATATAATTTTTAATACCCTAACCAAGTTGATCTTTGCACGTACACCGGCCTCTTTCTCTGTGTTTATTTCTGCTTACATTGAGTAATTTGGATGAGTCGAGTTCTTCAAGGCGCACAAATTGCTACATGCCCGTGAACATGACTTTTGTTAAATAGTTTTGGCTTTTCATAAAGTTAACTGGTTGTTTTATTATTAATTGTCTTGAGTACATGTGTAACCTAGGTATTTTTATCTCTCAATACCAAAGGTAATCTAAATCTTTTAATTAAAGATTAAGCTATTAAGTTGAGCATAGTTTTCTAACAAGGTAATCATCCCATAAGATTAAATCTGCTTGTAATATCTTATATATACTAAATAAAACCAAATCAAAATTATAACTAAATTCCTGACAGTTCAATAACTTTGATTTCTTAATCTCATTTAACTGACAACTCTCTAACTTCCGTTTAAAAATAAAATGAAATTCTAATGAAATTTCATGGCTAAATGGAAATTCCTCAAATCTAATTTCTCTGGCATTTGTTTTCTCGTTTTCTGGCAATTTGCCGTAAATGTTCAATTTATCAGCTGATAATTATAATTACTTAAAATGATTTTAATAACAAACACGATGATTATCACAACGAGCAGTCAAAACATTTCACTTTTTTAAGCTTTGCGAAAGTGTTGAAAAGAAGACAGACCGACAAAAAAAACTACAAAATGTGTAGAAAAAACTAAAAATAACGGTTTGACAAAAGTGAACTCGATATAATAATGAATAATTGCGTCAATTAAGTAAGCGAAATAAGTCAAACAAGCAATCAATCAATCAATCGTTGAACTCTCAATAGCTTTCCAAAAAGTCATAATTTTTGACAGTTTTCGCTGTGTTTGCTCTTTTTGCAGACTTGGATGGTGACAAGTGCGAATAGCTAAAGGATCCATATATCCCACAGAGATGATTTTGAGAACACAGTTTTGGCTGGGCCTCCTCTTCCTGGGGCTGCTCCTCGCCACCAGTGTTTCTGGCGAGGATGAAGACTATGGTGGAGATATGGGCGGTGGGTCCAACAATGACGAAATCTTTGATACTGCCCAACTGGAAGCGGAAGTTGAATCAGAGATGCAGCAGCATCGCAACAGTCTGGAGGAGGATCACACCCCGCCCATGGAACAGGAGATGAGCACCATGAGGCCAATGGAGAGCAGAATGAATACCATGGCCCCGTACTCCGAAGAGAATACTGCTGCCGAGACAATGGAGGAGATGCCAGCCCAAAAGCGGGTAATTAAAGAGGAAGATGAGAAAACCTCCAAGGACTACTATTACGAGGATACGCCCGAAGAAGAGACGGTGGTCAGCACCACAGCAAGGGTAGTCACCACAATGATTCCCGAATATGTGCGTCAGGCGAAGGCAGAGAGATTCCCCCAACGAGATCAGGAACATGACGTCTCCGACTATGTCGTGGAGGAGGAGGCCACAAAATCGGTGGAAGAGCAACTTCCAGCCGATGTTCATACCAAGTGGAGCATCTGGAACCCATTCCTCAGGCTCAAGTCCAACAATTGCCCAGTAAAGATAAACCCAATCCATTCAAATACTCCACTGAAGATGAGTACTACGATGACCAGACAGAGGTGAAGCCTCACACAACAACTACGACAACACAAGCACCACTGCCCATAGTGAGAGCTCGTTTTGGTACCTTTCCCTGGGCCACCACTCTGTCACCCAATCCTCCAGCTGCCAGTACAACATCTACCTCGACGACCACTACTTCGACTACGACAACGACCACCACATCAACGACAACGCCCAGTCCAAGGAAACAGGCCAAGCACATCCATGTATCCGGTGGAGTTAAGCCGGAACTATTGCCGCCGATCAGCTGAGGAACTACATCAAGGATGTATACATTCGCATGCCTCTGGCCGTGATTGTGGATCCCTCATCCGCATCTTTGGAGCAGGCGAAGCGTCTTTACATTGATGCTTTGCAGGACAAGAATATAGACATTAAGATTGTCTTGGTGACGCTCAATGGAGATGGTAAGTTAGGCAGGGGTTTACTTTCTAAATTACTAAATTAATATGTTAAATTCTCTCTTCAGGAGCTCCCTCAGCTTTTAGTTTTAACAATACCCGAGAGTTCATTGCTGGCCTAAATAGCACCAAGGAGCACGAGGGCGGCAACTCATTTGTGGGCGTGCTCCATGCAGCCGAACTGGTGCCCTACGACAGTGCCGTGTTTATATCAACAGCTTCAATTCCACCACACACGGAACTGGTCCAGGATGCGGCTATTACTCTGCTTAAGAAGAGGATCAGGGTGAGTGGAGGAAGAGAAGGAAAAGGCAATCATATTCTCATAATCTCATAATCATATTATTATATCATCGAAACCCCTGTCTTCTTTCAGCTCTTCCTTCTCTGGTACGGTGAGCGTTGGGCAGCGAGAATGAAACGAGGACGCTGTGGGCGGAATCCTGGGCGAGGTGGCCATCCGATCTGGCGGAGAGATCATCCACATTGTGAGCACCGAGCATGGGCAGCACATAGCGGGCAACACGGTAAGCAAACCTGACCAGCAATTGGGGTAATTAAAATTAAAAGTGTGTGCAAAAAGCAAACGCAAAAGCCAAAGCCAGACTCCGAGTCGTTGGTCGGATGCCGAGGGGGAAGGCCCAAAGTGTTGAAAACCGAAAGTGGCAACAGCAAATGGCAACAAGATCCAGAGCCGAGTGTTGCCCAAGCAGCCAACTGAGACGAAGCCACTTGGATTACCTCTCGGCCGGGCCAGGCCAGGCCAAGCCAGACTACACCAGATGGGCAGGTGGTGCTCGAGAGCTAGCGACTTGCCGCCAATGATGGTGCATCTTTTGTTGTTGCTGTTGTTGTGCGGAGGCTACTGCAAAACTGGGTTATGAAAGAAAAGTGAAGGGCAAGATAGATAGAAAGGAAGCCTAGACGCGAGTATGCCAAAAATAAACCCATCACAGCGAAAACAGGAAATCAAGTATTTTGTACTCGAATTCTGCAACTCAAAACAAGAAATCTGTATAATTGGAATTGATCGAGTTCCGGCTTTTTTGAATTAAATTAAAGGCTATTTTATATGGCCTAAACTATAACACCTTAAAGATTATCAGAAAATAAAGAATGTGGTTGGGAAATACAACATACCAACAATGAATTGATCATTCAATAATCTAAATTGGCAATTAGTTTTCAATACTAATGACTAATTACCAGTTAAAGAGAGCATCTAACTTCTTAACAACAAAACAAATTTATTATCTGGACTATATACTCATTTGCAACCCATTATCTCTTCCTATTTTTCAGCTCACCCTGGTTGCGGACGCCTATCAGGGCTCGCAGGAGCTGGAACTGCCAGTGGACACAACGTTGTCCAGCCTCCATGTGCGCATTGATGCGAACATGAGGCGGGCCTCGATGGAGACGCCGAATGGTGGTTAGTCTCTCTCTCTTCCTCCATCCAAAAACCACAACCGAGTTATCCCAAGCACCGACTCCGTTGCTCTATCGCACTTACTAACTAAACGCAGGGTTGTATTTTAGTGTTTAGAGTCTGTGCCAAGCCTAATTAGACCTAAGTCCACACCCTCCACATATGGCACATGCTCCTTAAAGGCGAGAGAATATATCTATCTCTCGTCATAACATTCCAGACAAAGAGAGAACGACGACAACTGTGTACTCTATTCGTATTCGTGTAATTTATGTCCTTAGCTTGTAAGAGATCCTTGACTAACCCAAAACCCCGTGAAATCTCTGCTACCTAATCTCTTATAATCCCAAGTCAGCTCTGCCTGACATCTGTATATATAGCCGAAGCCCCCAAAACCAATGCTTTCCTTAACCAAAACGCTAGAATAATAATAATGCTCAAAAACAAATGAACACGTAACCCTTAACTGTAGTACAAAGAAATTTTCAATATATGTAACATGTATGTTTACTGTTTTACCGATAAAGTAATAAATGTTTTAGCTTTCTAAGGGTCCACAAAAAATAATAAAACCGAAAACAAAGAAAAACCAAACCTGATTTAACCAATAACCATCCACACTTTTCATTAATTGATTATTAATTCATGGTAACAGTTGTATGTTGGATATGAATTAGTAAACAAGATATACACGTTCTTAAAAATACGAAAAAATATATAATAATAATAGATATCCAATATAGCAATTTTTTGTATTTTTGAAACTTCACCTTGCACTTTTTCTCAGCACTTTTTTGTCCCTTGTCCTTTTTGTTTTCGTCCTTAAGGGTAAGTACTTTTAATAAAACGTTTATGTTCTATATTCTTGTGTTTATGTTCTAATTCTTGAGCACTTTTTCAACTGTCCGGCACAAAATGTTATTGTTGACTGACTAACAAAACGCAAAACGTAGAATGGGTAAATGAGAATGGATCAGCTTCAAAAGTAACCAGCTAGCGATTCCACCAGATTAATCATACGCCACGTTGAACGGGACAGACAAAGTCCGAATATATAAATGGCCAATAAAGCGAAGATTGCGCTTTGGCGGGTCAGCAGACAGCAAAATAATTGTGACTCAAAACTGATGGAAGGCTCGAGCTCTTACTTATCGCTCGCGAAAACTCAAATATAAAAATAAGAAATAATAAACAAAAGTATTGTTGCCCGGTTGCAATCTTTAAATAACTTTTCGCGCAAGTTTCGCTAATAAACAAACGAATGTTTAATCTTCCGGAAGTTACACCAACACCAGCTCACAGCCACCCCACACAGACACGGACGCACGCACACTCACACACGCACCCTGAAGAAATCAATTCAGAGGGGCAGCGTTTTTTTCCCCTGCCTGCCTCAACTTCAATTGAATTGAGGAGTTTTTACGTTTGAAGTTCGGGGTTTTCTTGTTAAAATCATATATGTTGATATTTGGCAATATGGATAGTGCAAAAATATTCACAAAACAGCATAAACACACACGTATACATACGTTTTTATTAACAACAAATTAGGCACACTGCCATGGTCAAGTTCGTCAAAGTGGCCTGATTTGACAGCGAATTTCGTTGGATTTTCACACTTTCGGCTATGTGGCCTGCACCGATTTAAGTCAGCCGGTAAAACAGCCCTTGGTCAACACTTTAGCGGCAGTTAATTGTTCATAATTCGTTGATTTCACAAGGAAAAACAATTGTTTTGTCTCGCGTTTTTGTTTTTTGTAGACGTGTTTTCTTCTTTCACAACAATAACTAATACGGCGCAGCTGCCAGGGCAGGTCAGGGTTGCCAAGGTTTTGGCAGGTGTTGAAAAAATTATGTTATTCACTTAGTTTATGTTTGTTAATTAATAATTAGCAAAGCGGCTATAATATTACGGTTTTGTGTCTCACAAATTTTATGTTTATTGCACAATTTGACTGATTTTACTGAGAGTCAAATGAGTGGCAACGCCGTCACGAACACCTGTAACTGCCGTCTGCGTTGCACTGCGATTGGCAAAACAGCTGTTTGATTTTTCACTTTTTGTTTATTTGTTTTGATTGCTTTCCTTTTTAGAGATAAACTTGAAGAAATTGGGTAAATTTGGCGGAGTTAATGCCACGGCGACATTAAAACCCCACGAACTGGATGCCTTTGTGCCGCTGAACAAGTTGCGACGAACTGCTATCTACAAGCTGAAGCTCCAACCGGAATCGGCCGAGGAAAAGTACAATGTTTTTGTGCGCGCCGAACGAAAGGCTGATGTGTTTTTGGGTGAGTTATTGAGTAAATAAGCGCCCGTAGTTCGAACCTGGTGGTATCGATTGCCGCACAGAACTGCGCTAATAGGCTGGGCTCTGTTTTTGCCTCTGGAGATAACGAGGCTCGCGACCGGGAATCTGTTTGCCCGAATGACTGCTGCCGCTTCTGCTGATAACCGCGCCTCAACCTTGGATGGGAACGTCAGCGTTGACGCCATCATCAGCATCGTCGTCGTCTCTGTAACACGTGTGCACATCTGGTTTCCTAATGCTTTTTTCCCCCATTCTACCCCATGTTCCGCGGCAGGCGACATCATCAAACGCATCGATAGCTATTACAAAAGCGGACAGACAAAGGCTAAATCGGCTCGCATCCAATTTCCCGACAAGGAGAAGGACACCGAGAAGCTAGAGGAAGATGTGGATTCCCCGAAGAGTGAGATTGAAACCTTCTCAGACAAGGAAATCCAGATTGCTCCGAGCTTGAATCAGACGCTGCTGGCTGCTTCCACCACAGGACAGCCGAGGAGCACCCTTAATGCCATGCTTCTGCAGCGATGTGGCACCAAAATCGAGCTGAGCACACAGTCCCAGATCGTGGTTACGGCAGGCCAAATGGCCACGCTACTTTTTGAGGTCACAAATATGCGTTCGGAGGCAGTTTACTCCACTATACAGGTCACTGACGAGCGTCGTTTCCTTGTGCAGCTAAATCCTACAAGGTGGTTTCTGATTTTTACTAAAACCGATCACGTTTAAATCATGTTTTTATGTTGCAGATTGAATTTGCGTGCTCTGGAGACGGGAACCGTGCGGTTGACTGTTTTGGTGCCTTCGGGAACGGCACAAGGCACCACTGATCGTATCACATTTACGAATTATGGTCGCGAAACAGCCACCTTGGCGGTTAATCTTAAGGTGGTAAACACTGTTGATGCTCAGGTATTATTTTGTTTTAAATAAAGCTACTTCATATTAAACAAAGATCTTTTCAGGACACAACTGGCCCCACGTTGTCTTGGGAGTTTGGCAGTCGCTGTGATTATCTAACGCCCGAATCCCTGAACTGTGGTGAACGTTTTTGGACGCTGGACGTCACCGCCCAGGATTGGCAGTCGGGAATGATGCGGTTGCAGGCCACACCTCCCGAGGGACTCTTCTACCGAAACTACTACACAGCTGGAAGCAACGAGCCACTGAAGGCCACCTACATGGCATCCTGTTGCGAACCTAAAGTATCACTTGTCGCTTATGACGCAGCCGGCAATCAGAGGAGCCTCACTATCGATGTGAGGGATGTGTATTTCAGTGAAGCCGCCATCGCAGCAATTTGTCTGGGTGTAATTCTATTGCTCCTTCTGATTGTTGCAATCATCTGGAGCATAGTATGCTGCTACAGGCGGCGAAAGGTGTCTCTAGAACTGCCTACCTATAGATCCCACTCCACCAGAAGCATGGAGTAGGTACATACTTGTTTTGTTATTATTGTGCCAAAAAAAAAACAAATCCAAGAAATATAATGCCATTAAACGACAATTTTCTTTAAAGAACAACTAACTTGCACTTAGCAAGAGAGTGGGTTTCATTGTATGTATATGTTTTAAGAAGTAAACTGAAGGCAAAAAAGCCCCCGTCAAAATTAGAGTAACTTTCAAGTGGTTTGGCTTATCAGCTTATCATTTTGGACTCGCCCGAGCAACAGGTCAGCAGTCCCATCCCGCTGTTTTGTTTCCCCCGGTCAATTAAACCGTGACCCACTTACCGCGGTTCAAGATGCCAGCGATTAGGACGGGCGCCGGCGCTGGGGGCGGGGCATGGACCACTGGCGGAGCGGCGGGCAGGAGCTGGGGCTTATTGGGGAAGTCATCGAAGCTCAGCCCGGTCACGGAGGCGCTCAGAAGCGGGTTTTTCACAATACGCGTCGAGTTGCTTGAGTTTGCGTTGTTGTTTATGCGAGACACGTCACCTTTCGATCTTTCCGACATGTTAACTCACGATTCCGAACTCAAAACGATTTTACTTTGATGCGTACGTCAGCTAAATGTACTTAGCTAGTCAATATGCCCTTTTTCGCGAAGGATTTTCACGCCCACGGACGATTTTAAGCGGAAAACCGAGAAAACTTCCAGGCAGGCAACTGCTGCTTCTTTTCGCGACTGACATTCGCCGCGATCGAGCTTTGACCATTCACCATGGTATCGTTTCGTTGCGAATGGCCATGTGACGAAGAAGCATTGTAAGCAGATTTTAATTGATTGCTAAAGTATTTACTAAAAATTAATTAAACTGGGTTTAAACAGAGTTTTAAACATAGATGTTGAATGCCAAGCGTGCATACTGTGCCATGTCCTTATTTTAAAGAAGAAAGCAAGGCGCAAACAGCTGTTTTCGGCGAGGAGGCGGATGCAAACACACCCACAAAAAAAAACAGCAACCCCGTGATTACTCATCACAAGAATGTCCGGAAATCCTTTTGACAGTGACGACGAGGAGAACTCCGGCAGTGGAGAGATTCTCGAAGGTTTCCTGTGTCCCATTTGCCGGGCGGACCTTAAATCCATCGATGTGCTTACGGACCATTTTGCCCGCCAGCACGCCGAAGAGGAGGCGGCTCTGAAATCCCTGAAGGATATCTTTACCAAGGCCAAACAGAAAATATTAAACAACTTTGACGATGAGCGGGGACCGACTGCTTCATCGCCCGGAGCTGCATCCGCTTCAGCGGCTTCAAAGAGTCAGAATGGCAACGGAGATCGCAACGGGCCGAGCAATGCCCGGTCCCGGATGAACGTTTTCAACCATATGGCCCGGCAGCAAGCGGGCGCCGAGTGCTCGCATTTTGAGTATTTCCAGTCCATACGCAACCCCCGTCTGGAGCGCTATGCCAGTGAGACGAACAAGTTGATTATCAGGTTGCACCGCCTCCTAAAAGATCTGCCCACGGATTCAGTCCAGCGGAGGCAACACGAACAGCAAACGGTTACGTGGTTGGACGGCAGCTCCGTAAATTGTGTCCCAGTTGCGCCAAGAGTTTTCACATTGCACGGCGACAGCACCATTGTCGCCTGTGTGGCGGCATTATGTGCAACGACTGTTCCAAGTTCCTGCCTCTCGAGAATGCCCGTAAGTTGGCATGAAATGAGCTCTTAACAGCCATTAATCGATTTCCCATTTTGCAGTACAACTTGCCAGTCTATCCACCACTCGCAGTGAGCCCCTGCAGCAGCTACATCAACACGAGAACGCTATTCGGCTTGTGAGCACTGCCTTTGGCTGCTAGACACTCGTACGGACATGCACGAGAGTCGCACCTGTCGTCCCCTGCTGGTGCAGGTCTACGAGCAGATCAGGCAGCTGCAGAAGGAAGTAACCCCCGATCTGGACATGTATTTAAAGATAATCAACAGTCTTAACGAAGGGGATACCATCTTCACGCTAGCTGATGCTGGAGCCCTGCGGGGCAAGATCGGGCAAGTGGCCGAGACCATGGATGCAAGAAGCAAGCGTATCTTGGCCATATTTTGTGAACCCGGCAGTCGTGAGGAGGCCTTGAAGAAAGCCATACGCTTGGGCTGCATTCAGGCCATCAAGGACCGGATGCTGTCGCTGCCACCACTGCCAGAGGAGGCGCACATCCTCCAGATGCAAGAGCGACGACGCATGGAGACGCAACAGCGCATCTTGACCGAGCAGCGCATGGCCATGGAAGCCTACGAACGCAATAACCTGGCAAATCAATCGTTTGTGGTAGTTTCGAACCCAGAAAGTGGTTCGTTCGCTCAAGGGGTAAGTTTGTGCTTTCTGTTCAATTGAAAACATTAGTTTACAACGCTTTTGTGCTCTCCAGTCGGATTTGCAATCCCTTACCAACTGGTCGGCACCGCAGGCGGCCAGCAAGTCGACCCTGGACGATCCGCTGATCGAACAAATCAACATTATCAAGGGCTACATCAAGCAAGCGCGCCAAGACATGAACTTCGAGGTTGTGGAGACGTTGGAGCTTAATCTGCGGGAGCTCCAGCGCGAGGTATTCGAACGACAACGTCACTCCCAGGGCAGCACCCCAGCCTCGCCCACAGATGGGACTAGGCAACATCCTATGTAGTTGTACAGATATAACCATTCCCAGCTTTTGACAAAATTAAACCAACTAGTTACACGGTAGTGAGTGTATTTTTTGTGCGAAAAGCTCGAAAATCAAAGTGTATGTGCGTTTAACGACCACTGAGATTCTAAAATGCAGCCATCCATATCATTGTTATAGATTATATCTAGGATTTAAGGCCGACTGAGGCAATCAGAGACTTGACCTTTGCTACATAGGCCGTTTGGGCGTCGGCATTGCTCAGCCCCTTGCGGTTATTCCAAGCCTCCCACTTGGCCTTGCCCTTGAAGTCCAGGAAACCGGGCTTATCTGTACGAAATAGGAATACATGTAAGCGTTATATAGACAATGTGGTTAGCGTAATTAGAACCTGTATTGCAATCGCCAACGGTGGCCTGTTTGTACAGGCTGTAAAGCTCCAGCAGGTCATTGTCCCCGGGCGTGGTGTTCAGATTCTTTACATCCTCCGCCGCCTGATTAAATTCCTGTGAATTTTTTAATAATATTTGTATTTATGTATATTAATTGTCCATCTATGCTATTTACTTTACCTGCAATTCAGACATTTTTAATTGTAATAGATCTATCTAGCGGAAATGGGTCTTTGGAAAATCGCAATTAAAAATTCTATTAAATTATGTGACCAAGTGGCTTTTGCGAAAAATACCATACGGCCATTGGCGATATGTTATCGTTGGCACCATATAGCCAGAGACCGTAATTTGGCTATAAAATTTAAATTAAGCAGCCCTGATGGTTTTCTTTTTTGTTTTCCATATTTAGTGTATTTGCTGAACAGCGGAAAATTGCTGCGACGACTAATGCATTAAAACCTAAGGTATATAAATAATCCGTGGGGTTTTTTAATTGTTATTTGATTCAATAAAGGACACTACAATCCTCATTAGTCACTAAATTAAAGAAGTAGTAGAAGTAGTAATATAGTTCAAATCTTACAATGAGTTATAACAGCGTTTCAAACAATAACGTAAAACTGTTGCTGTTAACAGTACTCTTAACATCACTCAAATGTTGTAACACTGTGAACTGAAACAGTGCTGCCAGCTTGGCGTATTTTAGACATATTTATTAAGTAGCTAAAGGGTAACCTCAGCCGATGCTACCCACGCAATACTAAAAAAACACTAAAATAAAGATATATTTGCATGAAATTCAGACTGCATATTTAATTGCTGTATTTATTATAATAAAAACCAATAAATGAATAATATATGTATACATTTTTAAATATGCTAGGTCTTGTCTGAAACAGTTAAACGCCAACACTGCTGCAGGGGTTGTTTGGCATAGTCGTCTGGTGGAACTGGCTGATAAATTCAGTAAGAAATAAAGCTCGGCGTGAAAGTCAATTACCAAGAGCGAAGTTTAAATTTCGAAAAAAAAGAATGCTTGTGTGAATTTCGCAAAGTTTTGACGGTGGCTCTTTGAATTTCAGATATAACATTTTTTTTTTTTTTTTTTTTTTTGTCCAATTGTAATTTTTTTTATTTTTTGCGATGTCTTCTGAAAAATAAAATAATAAAAAAAAAAAAATAAAAAAAAATAAAAAAAAAAAAAAAATAAAAAAAAAAAAAAAACTCTACATATGAAATTTCAGCATAGCTTGTCGCATCGATATAGCAGACTTACTCGATGGTGAGAATGAAAGCGAGTGCTGGACGAGATATGTATATACATGACAATATAGCAAGTAAGCTAAGCCGGCAACACTGCTCAAAACATTCGAAATGGTGGCAAGACGCGGTTCGTGTTGTTGGGTGCTCCGCTGAAAATTAACGAAAAATACATAAACCGCCGGGAATAAATATTAAAATTAATGTTCCAGTGAAGTAATCCGGTGTCGCGATTTATTTTCCGCAGTTCTAATCGTCGAATCAAGCGCTTTCCCAGACTGCTTAAGCGCCGCCTGTAAAAATCGAAGCCGCAGCGAAACAATAACAAATGCGCCAAGTGCTTACCAAATAGTAAAAAAAAAACACCGAATGAAGCGGTGAAAAGGGCAAAGAAGTGATCGAAATAGAGCTCAGAAAAGTAAAAGAAAGTGCCCCCGCGTGTGTGTGTGTTTGTGTGTAAGCGGTTATTCTTGTTGCTGATAAATCGCTTAAAATCGTTTCATTTGTTTTTGTTGTGGTCTTCTACGCGGAGCTTATGCAAATGTGGTGAGCATGTTTTTTTGCGTGTGTTTTGCTTTCCTTCTTTCAACTGCCTAGCAACTCCAAAAAAGGGCGCTAAAACGGGAAGGTTTCTTTGGTTAACATCGAGAGATTTACAAAAGCAGGTGCGAAGAGCAAACAACAGTGGCAAACAACAACAAAGACACGACGGAATGCCAACATTTGATTTTCCATTCTGATTTCCCATGTTCCAGTTCTTTGTGTTTTTGTTTCCCTCTCCCTTGCGCCGCTGTGTCGTTCTCCCCTCATTTGCTTTGCTTAACTTTCTGGCTACTTTTAATCGAGCCTCTCTCGCTCTCGCTCACGCAGTGTTGTGTATTTTCAGCTGTTGATCTATTTTTAATTTCATTAACGTACTGCAAGTTCTCTAGATCCATTTCTCTCTGTTTATCTGTGTCAATTAGTCGCGGGAATTAGCGCAAAAATAGGGACACAAAACAAAAAGCGTCAAATCAGCGCAAATAACTTTCATTTATTTACATAGCACCGTGGAGGCAGATAAGCGCGTCAGCAGTAGTTGCACTAGAAGCCCCTTCATTGATTAATCACCCGGCTTTTAAGTACTCCGCTTGAGATAAGACCCCAGAAGTTGACCCAGTGGCTTTCATTGTCAGATTAAGAAATGCCACGAGGTCAAAATATCAGGAAATTTCTTCTTGAAAAATGTATTTAAAAAATGGTTACGTTAGTTTGGGATTTGTCTATTATTTATTTCATATTTTATACAGTTTTACAATAATTTTAGAATTATTTTGACTCACTTCGAGCCAATTTATTGTATTTCTAATTTACAGAAAATAAATTTTAATGCATTTTAATTTATTTATAAAAAACTTTGGATATAAATAATCCTATTTATTATTTTAAATTATTAACTGTATTTTCCAATCAACAAATCTTGTTTAGATTTTAATATTTTCTATTAAATAAGAATGTATCTGCAAGATAAAAATTGAAATTTCATAGTTTTTCCATCATTTTTTTTTTTTTAATTTATTCATATAGAATATTTTCAGTTTCTAATTAGACTAGATTCCTAGCAACTTGACTGCATTTGTATCTATCTTATCGGCCCCTATTTGAACTTGCATTTGCACTCTGCTAACATATGGCAACGGGCTCACGGCTTATAGGCCCGATATTTGTTGTTGGAGGGGAATGCAACGCTTGGCATTTGTTTATTATTTACCCGCTTGACATTAAGACCGTTGTTGGTCAGGTGACATCTGCACAAACCACAAATTATAATCGAGAGAAGAACGCTTAAAGCGAAAAGCGCGCTATGAATTTAAATATACGATGCTAACGAAAACGTAAAAAGCTTTATTTTTATAGTTATTGGAAACTGAAATATTGGTTTCAATGTTTTAAGAACTTCTTACACACTTTTAGACTTTAAAATCCCTAAAACTATATCCTTAAGTGTGAGATTAGATATTACGATTCTTTAAATTTATACAATTGTTTTTATATAAAATGCAACCCCTTCTCTTTGGCTTACAAAAAAACCTAACTCTTGTGCTATATTGCATCCGATTTGGCTTTAGCTGTTGGCTTTGTTGTCGTTGCCTTGCTACTTTCCCCTATATTTGCAATCAATAAATGACGCATTTTAATCGGTGAGACCCACGACCATCGACAGTCTAGACCCGTGGCACTATCGCAGCTTAAAAACATACACATATACTTATGTTATACTTATATATTTATTGTCCCGATGAAACACAAATGCCAGATGCTTTCGATGACTTCATGAATATTTTAAAAAGTGAGTTGTTTTGCTTGCGATCAGATCTTTAGGTTAATTTAATTTTATTGAATTCGTTTATTGATCTGATCAAAGTATTTGAACTTTCCTATTGGTGTTTATTCATCAGTTAGGTTTAAATTCAAATTTAAAGGCAGTTTAAACAAACATTTATTTTGATCTGCGGCTATTCGCCTTTGAGTTGGCTTTTTTCGGTATATATCATAAAGATTTTAATGATGGGCGCTCAGAGATATAAACAAATGAAGCTTTTCCACTTGAATGCAATGAACAAGCAAGATCCACAGTGATTAATTAGCAGGAAAATGAGGAAAAGCTCCCCCGGTTCTTTGTATCATTTGTTCTCATTTCATTTATCAAAGTATCTTTTTTGATTACTTCTTGGCCAGCACAACGGGCGGAAATGTTGTTGCAATTAGTTTATGTTGCCTTGTGCAACCTCGAAAAACTTCTGCACAAACTGTTGGTCTGCCAATGTTGGCCGAAAAGTCGTTACCACCGACGAACTCAACCCAAGTCCAACCATCCCAACACCCACGTTCTCCATCAGCAGAATTTGGCACGAGAAAATTTCACTTTTATTGTGGAGGAGAGCAGCAGGCCAACCGAGCGACAACATCTACCCGCTTCTATACGCTATATGATGTGTACTATATGCACGTAAAGGATAGAAGGTATAGGTGGGTTTTCGGGTGGATGACGGCCGGGCAGAAGCTTTTTGGGGAACCACATTTATAAAACTGCAACAGCTGCAGTTATTTTTCAGCTTGTTTTGTTTGTCGCTCGACGATGCCACTGCAATTTTTCTTTTGTGTCCCTCATCTCTCCACTTCGGTTAACATATTTGATTTTGATTTTTGCATGGAAGTTAGCCCCCAAGAGAATCCACGTGGAATATATTGAAATGTCATATGGAATAAATGAATTCACATTCGAGTTGATAGCTGAAAAATGTGGTCCACTTCGAATAGGAACTATTTTTCATTAGGATTTATAGATAAACGAAGCACTTTGACAGCCAAAAAAAGTATATATACGATGGGTGATTTTTAGTTTATGGATTAACTTTAGAAAACAACAAAAGTTTAGCTGAATTTGCTCAACTTTAGCTTTAATATTAAAGCAAGTCTTTTAACAGATGATTAACTAGCTAAGAGAAGAAGGCATTCCATATTAACATAATTAATCAGTCTTATTTAGGAATATTATATGAATACTGTGATTCTTTTTTAACTAAAATCTTCAGCGCGCTATAATCCATCAGTCTTAATTCCAAATATAGATTATACTCCATTTCCTAAACCCTAACATTATGTTTTTGTTGAATTAACTTCGAGTTCGCCAGTATCCCCTAGATATTTTTCTTTATCCATTTTAAATAGCTTAATATTCAACAATTCAATAGAAAAGTCTTCCTATAATTCCAATTACGTTTAATGACCAATTTAAATAGCTTAATTTATGGGTTTTAAATAGACTACTTTTAACGAAACATGAATGGATTTTGAATAAACTATTTTTAAATAGACATTGGGAAATTGACTCGTTCCAAGTTTAGTACAGAATTTCTATTCTATTTATATAAATAAAGAAAGCTTGCTCTGTACATTTCACATACCAAAACTTCCCCCTCACGTGCCATGCCAAGGGCACATCTTTGAACTGACTTGGGCTATTTTCTACGTTATCCAGTGAACAGGCTCTCTAGTTTTTCCGGCCAGCAGCACCTGCAGGTAAAAAGGATGCATTTTAAGAGGGTTATAGCCGACAGCTGTTATTGTTTCCTCTTCGTTCTCTTACCTGCTCTGGTCTTGGCCTTTGCCTTGTCGTGGCCTTTTTTGAACTAAAATATTTCAACCAAATGCTGCTGCCAGAGGCAAGCGAGAAAAAATAATATAAAACAAACGAATTCCTCAACATTTTGTGCGTTGTTGCGTCATCGCACACGGAAAGTAGCTCTGAATATATATATAAAAGTATATAGTATAGTAAGCCCCCAGCACACATAGTCATACTACATATACTCACATATCTAGGAACAATAAAACAAAAGTCTGACACTGTCTGAGTCTGGTTTTTGAATTTAGTCATTTGCCGGTCTCAGGCGTAGAACTTGTTTCCGTTTTATTTTAACGCTCTTAGCACATACCAACAACATAGTTTACAATTTTATTTATGTATAAAATTCTCACTCTCTCGTATTAGCTGTCACTGCCTCTAAATGCTTTAATTAAATTTTAGTTTTATCACCTACAGTTTATTTCTATCAGAGACGAAATTAATTTCGCCTCACAATTCATCCACTGCTTATCGTCGTATTCTGGGTGTGGGTTTTGCAATCAGAAATAAAATAAATATTCGTTTGTATTTTCAGATATATAGATATATAGCTGTCTAGTTCTGGGTATATCGTATATGCGGATGATTCTAGCTGGTTGACTTCTCATGCGTGAATATTTGTATTTATTTTTTTCGCAAACTTTTGACGGCCGTGAGAACCAGACTGAGTCTGGGCTTAGTATTTTCATTGAGTTTTCTTCTCAGTTATGGCCTATACTATATAGTATAGTGTGTCTTCTGCCCCGATATTGAACGCCGCCTTACAAAGTGTGCAATGACGCGTTTGGCTGGCTGTGGGCACGCTTCGCTGCCATTCAGGAATTTATTTATAACAAAAACACTTTTATGCATGTTCGGCATCAAGTTCTTAGATAAGCAAAGAGGTTCCAAATATTCTGAAACAATATCAGCTCAAGGGCCTTCTGGCAACTTAATATTTAAAAGGAATTCCAACGAATTTAATTAAAATTAAAATAGATTGACAAGAGTAAAAAATGTTTAACTATGTTTTACTATATAACTGAAGTAATCTTTTCCCACAGTTTACAATTTGATACCTTAAAAATATAAATCGAAATACTGGAATTTTATTTTAAAATGGTCTTTTACTTTACCATTTTTTCTGTGTTAAAATACACATTTCTGTTGCTTATATTTAACCTTATATTTTTAAATAAAACAATTGCATATGTTCAATAAACAAACATAAATAAACAAGCATTTATTGCAAATCCCTTAGAGTTAAAAGTTATTCCAGCACAAGAATCTTTCACCAATTAACTAACCCTATATGAATGTCAAAAGTTTCTTGCTTGTTAGTTAAACTTTTCACTTTCTCAAATCAAATTAAAAAAAGATAAATAAATTTGTAACTTGC